AGACAATTTGAAATTGGTATGGACAGAACGATGACTGATACAGTGTCCTGTTCATTCAAGGTGTTGATAGTTGTTCATGGACTCAAGGTGTGAATTCAAGGCCTTGATATGGCCGGAAATGTGATTTGAATTATTGCATACGTATTGCTAAATTCAAGAAGGCTATCCGTTCAAACCACTAGCGTTAAGTGTAATATAGCTTTAACTAGAATACGGTTAATGTAAATTTGACGTGTTTTCACTACTACTGTAATGTTGAATTTAACACATAGGACACTTTTGTACGGGAGTATACAAATATGACATAATAAATAAATTGAATTTTTACTACGTTGGTTTCATTTGATTTTCGTTACCTGTTCATCATATTTATATGTATTCTAAGCTTATCAAGATTGTCAGTGCCCGTTACGAAGCGCAAGCAGTTATCATTAGATTCAAGTAAGCGAGGCAATACAAGTAGCATACGTAAACTGACCACTTTTTCTATCTCAAAACGGGACACCGGTTTACAATGAAAATAAACATAACTTTAATTTTCTTTATTCCGAAAAGATTAAAAATTAATAGATACAAAAAAAAATCATCAGTACACTATTTTTATCAAAACAACATTGGTATTTTTTTTTAAATATACATATTTATATTTCTCGGAGGAACAAATTTGTTTTAATAAAGAAGGTGACGATTTTAAATATGAATAAAATTTGGCACGTTCTTTTACGTTGTATGTTACCTTTGCTATCAGCATTACCTTCAAAACTGTACGAATAGGGCAGGTCCGTCTGTGTAAGTATCACTACCTCACAGAAGACCGGCGTGAAGTGGAAGTGTTAACACTTGTGCGTTCGTGAGTGAGGTAGCCGGGGCTCACTTTATTAAAAGGCTGTTGCAAATACCCATGGGCGGCGGTTATCACTTAACATCATGAGAATCGCCTACATTTTCAAATTTAAAAAAAAAACAGTATTCATCAGTAACCCAGGCGTTACTCATCATCGATATTGACCGTTAGTATTATAATTATCCACTTGTGGCTGTTAAAACTATCAAATTACGGACTAAAGTACATAAACTCTTTGAAATTTCGACGTCCAATCTTAAACCACATGCTGATTTCTCCACAACGTTCGTCGAAATGAGGTGAAATAAAACGAAAAAATTTCTGTTTTGAAATTCTTTTATAAAACATAATAAATACAGGCTCTAACGTAATGGACAACAAATAAGGTGGGTACGTGATAATTTTTTTGAATATTCAGGACGGCAAGTATCTTTGGGATCATGCGGACTTTCCCGACGATTCAATTTCTGCGATTTCTTCAATACTTATTTATTTAATTTATATTAGAAATTTAAATTGTTTATAGTGCTAATCTTTGCGCTTAAGATTGAACATTACGTTTTTCTACATATTTTAATAATTTATATTATTCATTTATCTTTTAACAGCCTTCTTACTTGTTTAGACAAAATTCGAAGGATTTTGTTTTTTAAATAAATTTTCATAATAAATGCTTTTTTATGGAACAGCGATTGCTTTATGTTGTACCTGGACTAAGTAGCATTCTGTATTGCGGAATCGTCGTTCAGTCCGCCGAAATGTAAACGGTTTTCAACAATAGAATTCTTACTATATTAATTGGTTCGTCAATTAGTCCGCCGTTGCTCGCTTATTATTTTTCTTTTAATTACGCTAGAATAATTAATATTTATAAAAGCTTAGCGAAGTGTGCAACGAGCCAATTAAATTTTAGAATACCTCAGCAAATTAATGAAGACAGGTCGTTTGTATTGAAAGAAAGTAACTTTAGTTTATTGTGCAGATATTGCATAAACAAAACCTCCATAACCAAAATTGGTACTGTTTATCTGAGCTACATTTAAATTTAATGCTGTAGAACTTAATTCAAAATGTACAATGATACTTGCAACTCAATTCGCTATAGACGGGGGACTAAAAGGTTCTACATTAAAAAAAGATCTCAATTACAATGTGAACTCTTTCATAACAAAATAACAATACTCGTCTACTTCTACACACAATACCCTTTTAATGCGTCGCGGTCGTAAATATAAATAGAGAGAGAGAAAAAAAAGAAAACAATTTCATTTCACGTAACATGAATTGACGTTGTTAAAAATGACTAGGAGGTGCGGAGATGGGGGATGGATCTCGAGGTTTGCAACCGTTTGAAATCGACACTACAGAGAAACGTTAAATACTCCCATTATCGACAATTCCATTTCTGATATTCTGATAAAGTTAGTACATTTTAAAAGGGGAAAGCCGGGAGTAAGCTGCCATTTGACATTCCGTAGCAACTAAATGGATTAGTAGTAGTAACAGTAAAAATTACATAACGTCAAATTGACCTCGTTCGTAAATAAATTCAAATCATCTGTGGCAAGGATACTGACTTATCTTACCGTTAATACACAAACTAGCATCGATTGTAATCGATACTACTTTACACTAGTTTAGATACACAATCTAGTTTCGATTATAATCAATACTAGTTAGTGTATCCATTTAATTTTTTATTAATGTAATTATACTTCTTTTTGAATAGGCGCGGGCAGAAATCTTAAAATTCTGTCAAATTACGTGTTCTGACAACTTGCCGATTTTTTATTTTTTTTTTTTCGAAGCAAACGATCACAAAACTCAGACCGTGGACATAACAAAAAACAATAAGTTACAAACTATACAAGGTAAGAGAGTGATTCTGTATAGAACTTATACGAATTAATAAAAATAAAGCTCAGTACACAAGGCATTTTGTTCATATCTTATCTTAAAGTTATAAATTAATATTACATAGACTCCCTAATTACTGGCGACGGTTTCTTACGTAATATACTAAAAGTAAACCAAGTACTTCTTTGCTGTTACAAAACACGTAATAACATTAAGACTACAAATGTTTTAATATCGAAAATTAGACAAAAATAAAAAATAATACATAACACATAAATGATAAAAAAATTAAAAAGTATTAAATAACAAAAAATTTCGATCAAAATTAAATTGCTCAACTTATTTATTTCAAACTCAAAAATAATGTTGTACTTATTCTGAATTGCTTCAAATGTAAATTCCCCAGAAGGCCTTTTCAGTCAAGTACCTCAACAACTTCCATTTCAAGCTATATTTAAGACAAAACAGAGACAAATATGTTTCCAATTAGGGCAGTATTTTTTAAAAATTATGTATTTTTACGAGTCACTCGAGAAACTTCTAAACCAATAACTTTCGAAGCTACTATAACTTTCTGCTAACAACACCACTATACTAATCACATTACACTACATTTATACTTCTTTAGTCAAGTTCTCAAATGGCAGTCTGGTACTGTTGATGCAAAAGTTAATATTATTACTAATAACGTTAGAAAGAGAAATAATGAATCATATAGAGCGAAGGAGAAATATGTTTCATTTCCAACGGAGTCTGAGTGCAAGAATATTTGTGTTTGTGACTTAGGGTTTTTTCGCAATTGCAATCACGGTCATTTAATTCTGATTACAAAACATAATTTCATACTCGTCAGTCTGTACGTGAACAGATTGAACAAACAAGCAATCTTCGTAACGCACGCGTAAAAAGGTTTTTATTATAAAGTACTGTATCTGTATCGTTTTTGCCTTAAATTTTTAGTATATAAGCATCACGACACTAGTTAATTGTATGAAACTCTTATATCATAATTGGCTCGCGTGCTTAAAAACAAAAAAAAAAATACGTCCGTTAAAAAAATAATACTCGCTTATATATGTGACAGTGAAAAATAGAATCTTCATCGAAAAATCAGAACACAGCAGTGTTACCACATTCCTGAAAAACGTACCATATTACAAAAATAATATTATAAATAAAAAACTTCTATTTTATTCGGAAATTATTAAGTTTCAATGTGATAACTTACGCGCTTAGAATAAATAGAATGTTTTAAATTTTGCCGTCATGTATCCAAATATAGCTAAATGCAAAAAAAAAATACAAAGGAATTAAATTAAAAGCGTGTGGCCATATAAGAATCAGTTCGACCTCGGTCCGAGAATACTTAATTTTACAGATAACAAATTATACTAAACGTCACGTTCAGTGTCGCGTAAAGGTAAATAAAATTAGAACTAACAACATCGACTTACAGTCTATATTAGATTGTGTACGACTTAAACGTCTTAAATTACTTCGTTCGCTTACTCATCTTTTTGGTAGAAATATGGTTTTTGTCAATAGATTCCTAAATCGTAGCTAATCCAATCACGATCACATGAATAATGCGACCGATTTGTCTTTTTCGACACAGCCAAAGCGGAAAGAACACGTCACAATACGGCGGTGACTTGACCGAATGGTATTTCAATCGTTTTCTTAAAAAAAAATTGCACAGACCCAAAATCCTATACTACTGGAGACGACATAAAAAGACGTTGCGTAAAAAAATTCTTAGAAATTATTTAACTGTTGTGTATTCAGTCTAAAGCTGGTAGTCGTTAAAAGCTGAGCGCAAAATTTGTGAATAACTTTATCCTGAGTTTCTAAAGAGAATAATAATATGTTATGATATGATATAATATATCAGATAATGTTAAATAAAAAAAATCGGCCAAGTCAGACTCGCGTACAGAAGCTTCCATATAGCTATAAAAACGTCAAAAAAATAATGTCTGCTGTATGGTAAGGCCCCCCCCTTAAATTTTTTGTCTTGTGTTTTTTAAGATTTGTTGTTATGGCCGTATCAGAAATACATCATCTGTGAAAATGTTTTTAATCTGCATACGTTTTTTAAAGTCAATTGTGCCTTCTTCAACGAAATAACATAATGCAATTTTTTTTTGCTTCAACATGCATTCTCCAGTAGTATATGTACGGGTATAAGCTTATATCAAATAGCAAAAAAATCACACCAACTTTGGAATCGATCCAATTAAGCTTTGCTTTGCAAATTTTGCCCCAATCCCTTGCACATAAAGCGCTAAACGCTTTATCAGTCGACAATCAGGCTCCGCTCGCGTTCGGTCTCCGTGTTGTCTATGCTCGCGTCTCCTCTATCGTCTATGATCGACTCCGTGCGCTCTATGTCTAGAGCGACCGCGTCGTTAGTCTTATCGCTGGCATAAACAAAATGAGCAACATACATGTTATGTTTACATTTAAAGTATCTATTATAGATGTCACATTATACAGCGTGTCGTTACAACCGCGACAATAAATGAACACACGTCTATCGTTACTTGCCAATAATCATAAAATAATATAAAACGTTTAAAAAATCCATAATTAAAAAAATATATTTTTCAAACAAACTAATTAAATAAAAAAGAAACAAAGTTTGTAACATCCTATAGAACTACAACTGACTGATTCATACATTCAGACACTTTTTCATTCGTTGCCAAAACGTCGCATTACAAGTCTCTACTACTAACAGTATGTTTTATCTCTTTTAAATTCATTCAACCACTTCATATGCTTTGTGACCTTAACAAATGAACTTTACGTTACAGTTTTATACGTAAGGGTGTTCTAAAAATAATTGTTTTGTAAAATTTAATAAGTCGGTCAATATTGATCTTTAAAGAATGTAAATGCTTAATACAATTTAAAAAAGTTATCCTCTATTTGTGTGTTCATTTATTGTCGCGGTTGTAACGACACGCTATATATAATAATTATATTCAAGACACTATAAGCGCAAGTCTGCAGTAGACGCTCTGAATATAAAGTCTAGATTGACGAGAAACTTACGCCCGGTTTCGGATCATCGTAGAAGTCAATTAAAGTTGCCAAAAGGATTGTTAAACTCTGAATTGATCAGAATGTTCTTCTTATTATTAAGTCAAATAACATTTTTAAAACCATTTGACAGCAGATTAGTTGACTTCTACGATGACAGTGTTCCAAATACCGGGCATTATTCTTTTAATACAAAGATGGTCCCGAGAAATTGTTTAACCTGAGCTGAAATTCCAACTTTCGAGAGGTTTATTGACAACATTAAAACGGTTGGGATGTTTCAAAGTTGACAGTGGGGACTATATTATAGAGAGCTAACTGAACAAAATATGACGACTACCGCTGTCAATCTTTGAAAATGATGATATAGTAAGTCTTTATAAGGTATAAAGTTTCACCTTATATCAGCACGAAAATCATTCTTAGAAATCGCTGAGCTTATTAACTTTTTGCCAAAATGTACTTTATATATTTTTTGTGTATTATACATATATTTTATATCTTTTTTTTCTTTGTTCATATTTTTCTATTTTTAGGATTATGGCAAATGAAGAATTATTGTTATTATTATTTAATTGAGCCGGCTCCTTTAGGAAGCACGCATTTAGACACAAATAGCATAATGAACGAGCATGCATTTTTTGATGTATAAAGAGAGAGGGAACTTAAACTTTGTTAAACTTTTTTTATATATATATTAAACTTTGTTATTGCCTATCTCTACTGTAACTGCTTCTGTGTATGTATGTAATTGTATGAAATTGTTAGTACCAGATATGGTCACTGGTGGGCGCCGTCGGTGCGTTAGTGGGGAGCGCTAACGACTGTGGCCGACGCAGCCACGTGCAACGCTCCTCCTGAAAACATTCCACTTGCAAAAATATTTGTACCGTCGTTATTTTTCTTTTATGAGAAGAGGGCAAGCGACTTGTCGGTTTGGCTGCTGTTAAATGATAACCGCAGCCTGTGGGAATTTGCAACACCCGTAGGGTTGCAGATTTTAATAAAGGGCGCTCAGGTTACCTCACTCACCAGACGAAATAGACAATTTCCGTGAGGTTGTGGTACTTCCCCAGATAGACCTGCTCATTTGTGCAACATCAAGTTTTGTGGGCCTAACTCAGTTAGATAACAAAATAATTTGCAAGTCGTTTCGCACGTTTTAATATAAATAATAGATGTATTTTATTATTTCTCTCTATAGAACATTGTCAAAGTGCAGTGAATTTATTATTATCACAATAGTTTTAATGCATTATCAAATTGCCCGAACGTTTGTCGTCAAAGATCTTAGCACTGATACAATGGCAGATAGCTGCATGGATAGACATGTAACACTATCACAAGCAATTGCAGCAATGTCATAGCAGCCGATGTAAGGATGTTGCATGCACAATGGCCGCGGGTTTGGCCTTGTGGCAGGCAGCGGCAGTGGTGGCAGCGCGTGGCAGTGGACGGTACCTGCGGCGTCAGCAGTGCGCTGATGTCGGTCTGGGTGGCAACAGGCTCGCCCCTGGAGCGCTGCGACACCGCACGGAGCACCTCTTGCATGCTGCTCTGAAGTTCCACCACCTGTAATGGCCGCATTAAGTGATACCATATATTGTATTATTTTATTGTTCTACAAATAAAAAAATAATCTACATAACTGAAACTATCAGATAATGTAAAAGAGAAATTATTCATTTATCCGTATCCATATCCAGATTTTTTTGAAGACGTTTGAAACCAAGTTCAAAGTGGAAATTTTCGGGATTGTATCAAAACTGCCATTGGCAATGTTAGAAAAGAAATAAAATGGCTTCGAAAAAGAAAGAAATTTTCTTTCCATACATACCTGGGCCTGCAAGCTACAACATGTCTCCGTCAGCTGCCTCAATACATCAGAACTGTCTTCAGGATCAAAAGCTTTTGCTTTCTGGATGTCTAAAAATAAAATACATTCTGCTTTAGGTATTTGAACTTTCAAAAACACAAAAAAAAATGGTAATGTCACAAAGGTAATGTTGAATACTTAAAAATTATCGGTGTTTGAGTATGAGTATGAAGTAGTTGTAGTTGTGACGTAATGAATCAGAACTTTTAAATTTCAAAAATTCAATGAACTTAAAAATTCGTTGAAGTCTTAAATTCGGAGTTGAAGAACTTGTACTAAAGGTTTTGTTTTTTTCGTTACAGAGGTATAGGTTACAGAAGTATATGAAATACACACCAGAATTCTGCAAAGTTGACACTTTTTTCCAAAGTGCATTGATAGCTTGCATTTGCAATTGCTGGATCTTTCTTTCACTTTCCAAGGCAGCTTTAGTCGCTTCCATGTCGCAAGTAAGTCTTCTGAAAATTTTTATAAATATATCAATTTCTCTTAAAAGGAGTATGATAATCATTTCGTCTATTTATATTTAAGAAAAAGATATAATTCATATACAGAGCAACTATTCATGGCTTGTCCTTGGTGAAGAACATTATTAAAATTGTTTAAAAAGGGTGGAAATGTACACAATTTATTTAGTCACACTTTAATCAATACATAGCTTTATTTTAAAAATCAGCCGCACAGCAGCTTCCGTTGTTCCAGACTGGTTTGGGGAAGTACCAGAGCCTCACAGAACACCGGCGTGAAGTGAAAGTATTACACTTTCATATTTCGTCTGGCGCTATATTTTTTTAAGAAATACCATAACAGTGTAACAGTGTCAGTACAAAACAAGCAACAAATAAGGGCTACACAAGTGCAAAGCAATCTTGATATTACTCACTGTATATGCTGTCTCGCTCTTGCAGCCTGTATGGCATGCAAGATTCTCAGTGTATCTTTATTCAAGTTCCTACTCCTATACCCCCTCCACATCTTCTGGATGGTCACTGCCGCCATCGACTCCACACTCATCTTCTTTTGTCTTCTTTGATTGGAAGCAAGCTTTATCACCTCCAATTTCTCGGGATCGATTTGGTCTATTTCTTTATTGGTTTGGAATAACTCCATTGAGTCTCCTCTCATCGTTCTTAATTTCGGATTTCGTCAAACTGCCTTTGCGCTGCTGTTCCATTTTGGACCTTAGCTTGGGCGAGGAGTTTGCGCTTTTTGGCAATTTAGGCGAACCTTTGAAGGTCTTGTTGGCTTGTTTTTGGCGGTCATCTTGAACGCTGCTGTTGCTGGACTGGCTCGATGCGTTGGACAGATTGTTGGTCGCGTGGTTGTTCGGCTTTGGTATGCTTCTTTGGATGTCGAAGATTGGGTCCTGGTAATCGGGGCTCATGAGCGATTCCGGCACGGGCACCATCTTCGACGCCGCTTCGAGCGGCTGGTTCACCGGCTTCGCTGGTTGTTGGTCTGTTGAAAAAGTATAAAAATAAATATAAAGGAGTACTTTGTATCAAAAGTTATAAACATGAAACAGCACAGAAAAATTTGATCAGGAAATCATGTGTAGCGGAATACCGGCGAAAAGTAAGTAAGTACAATAGTTATACTTCTGTCGTCCCTCCACATTTACCATAAGGTAAATGGTAACTAACAAACGCTTTTTTGTTTGTCATATCCTACTCATAATATAAAATAACAAATGCAGTTTAACCTTCGAAATTCGACACGAATATAATTTGCCAAATTGCAAGTGTTAGCAAGTTAATTGAAAAAAAAAAAAAAAAACAACCAGAATGGGGCATGAGCTGCTTAGCTGTTGTCAAACAGACTTATTCATATTAAAAGTAGTAAATAACAGCCTGACACATTCTACCACACGTCCTCACTATGGACTGGCAAACTTCACATTTATTCGATTTTTTTATCACAACATTTCATTCATATACTACCACACTCACCAGACGAAACGCAGAAGTATAAAGGCAATGTCTCTTCACGCCGGTTTTCTGTGAGGTTGCGTTTCTTTAACATTTAAAAAAAAATCACTTTATTACATTTTGTTTCCCTTTTTATGAAATTAATATATTATTGTAAGACAACATAACCACAATTTTCAATATAACTCTTTAGGGATATGCAATAACATTTTTATTAATGCAAATAAATGTGGATAAAGAGTCATACTGTCTATGCTCTGTGTAAGTGTATTTCGAATATAGTGTGTCATCAATTACCGGCTTTCTCACTCCTGCTGCTGTCGCGCCTCTCGTACATGAGCCCAGGCGAGTCGTAGCTCTGGCTCATCGCGTGCGGGATAGCGGGTGGCTCGCTGCAGTTGGACAGTGACGGCGAGCCAGTGCGCATCGCCGCGTGGTAGCTGCTGGACAGGCGGTCGGGCGAACGGCCCACGTGACGCGTCGGCATGCGCGCTGTGAATCAATGAACGTACAATAAACAGATTTTGATAAAATTTGTAGAAAAACGGACGAAAAGTTCTTCGTTGCTGCGGGAATCGAACCCTCCCTCCTGGAACCGCGCCCGGATGATTGAACAACTAAGCTTAACGGCTGATTGCCACGCTGACGAAAATCGCAACCTACTTTATGTACATTGTGTTTTCGCAATTTATTAATGTTTAATTTAAAGCAGTGATTTGGCAGTTATTTGCACTTTTAAAATAAAAGAAACAATTTACTCAAACTATTTTTACGGATTTATCGTGTTACTTTTATTTCTGATGTTTAAGTTCAAAGATACTCACTAAGTGGGCTATTGACTTGCTATGGGTCATGGGTTCAGCTCTCACACTGGATAAGTATTTTTGCAAACCACAGATAACTGTTTCAGATCTGGATGTTTGTTCTTAAGGCCACCTCACCAATACTATTAACAACGAGGTGGATAAGAGCACAAGATATAAAAGGTGAAGTGGGTTTTCTGATTCTGTTTTCAAACAAAACCATATTTGACTATTCATCTTGACTGATGTATATCAGCCAAAATAACATGGTGTTAAAATCAATGTGATCTTAGCACCAACTATTATTATAAATATATTTATATAACTTAGGTATAACCTGAAAAACACCAAAATCATATTATTTCACTTACATTGCATCCTTGGTGACTGGATCTTAGATTTCATTGGACTATGGTTGTGATCTTTTAGTTGTTGTTGATGATGTTGTGCCTGCAAGGAAGTCATTTTTTTTTAAATATTTGTTATGCAAACAGCAAAGGAGTGACATAGTTTTTAGTTGTCTTAGAGGCAAGATAATATTTTACCACTCACCAGTACTAGATGACCATTACATCACATATATGTGATGGTAGTTAGTACTGGCCAGTTTTTGAGGAAAAAAAAATAAAAGGCCAAATACAAGATTCAATTTTAAATTAAGAATTCAATTTTACCTTGCTAAGAATAAGTCTCAATTTCCTTTGCTCTTCTGTTTCAAGTGCATCGGCAGTCAATGGACATGTGGTGGCAAGATATTCGCATAGTTCACGATGCTGACCTTCATGGAAATGTCTACCTTTGCCTTGGCTGTACAGCCATTCAGCCTTCAAACTTGAGAACAATTTAAAGAAGCGTAATTTGGTTTGTGATAAACACGAAGCAACAAGGAAATCAACAAAAATAGGAAGATAAACTTTGTATACAGGAATAACTTAATTGAAATAATCAAACCTTTCCCTGAACGTCTATAGCAAATGCTTCAAACATTGATCAGTACTTTTATAAACTAAAAACAAACAACACTTTCATAGAAAAAAAAAAACAATTCATATATGGAGAAAGACAATAATTATGCAGATTACAGAACAATTACAAAGAGATAATAATACATGGCTCACCTCTCTATAGCGCTGACAATAAAACCATCAATAGATTTGACACTCATGATCCAATTCAGCACAAAAGGTCGGTAGTCAAATCCTCTAGCAAATAATGTTTAAGGAAATTTTTGTTCATAAAAATTAGATATTTTTTGCCTACAACTTAACTATTGCATGGTGAACTTTTACTTTTACATTATAAAGTTTACTAAATTATATTAGAAAATGAACATGTTTTTTTATTATCTACGTAAACATATTATAATGTATTAAAAATGCACATAGATAGAACAATTTTTATGACATTGAAATACTTATCTCATACTAAAATTAAACCTACTAGCTAACAGATAATCAATTAATATCAGAATTATATTTATCATGGTATTTAACTAGAAACTGAGTGATGATGATGATTTATGCATCACTTAGTTTCTAGTTAAAAATATTTTTGTTTGCATGGTATTATTAATAGAGTAAGTAGATAAATTTATCATATTGACAATGATAAAAAGCATTTTATTTTGCAAAAGGATACAGTTTGTCCTTACCAGCCAGAGAGATACATGGATTTCCCTGTATACTAAAACTGTCGAGTTTTGACAGGTGAACAAGATGGCAGATCTCGTTTAGGTCCTGGATGTTGTTGTGTGCCAGGCCAAAGTGTTCCAAGGCACTGGGCAAGTAACGATCGCATTGACGGAGATCCATTATTCGGTTACGTTCCAGGTTTAAATGCTGTAATCAGAATTTAAACATTATAAAATAATATAATTATAGTGAGGATGACAACCTCTTAGCTTAGTGGCTAGAGCGTCTGGTCGCGTAACATGGATGGAGCAGTTCGAACCTGGGCAGTGGCGATAGATTTTGCTACATGTTTATAATTAAAACTGATAAATTTCATTTTGATACTCTTATACGAAAATCACTTTTATGTCTAGGAAACCATTAGAATTCAAAAACATTAAATTATCAAATTTATATTATAATGCATTGGATTGCATGCTTTTATATCTAGAAACTTGGATTTGTGTACAAAGTGGTTAAAATGAAATTCAAAAAGTTAAAGTATGTTCTACATTAGAAAATAGTTTTGGAAGAACAATTAACTTATAAGAGAAATCAATAATTTATTGATACAATTAAAAGCATCACTTACCTTTAAGCTCTTTAAATATGAAATATCTGCTATAAAAGATATCTGATTGTTTGAAAGGTCCAAATGTTCCAAATGCATGTTATGGTTAAGATGCTCTATAGACTTTATATTATTACCTTTAAAAGAGAAAAAAATAACTTATTTAAACTTTATACATTTCTTCTCTTAAGTGATTCCTTTAAAATATGCCAAGGATGGAAAGGTATAAAAATTTTAGTAATCACAAAAAAAATATTTAAAAAATTCATTTAAAAATATTATTTATAAATTTAGAATTCAAAACTGACTATTTATTATGAATATACATGTAACCGCAAAATCTCTATAGGGTGGGCATGCAAAAGAAAACTTTTATGTACTCACCAGCCAGTTTTAATACTTTCAAATAAATGAGATCCTTCAATCCCTCAATCTGCAATATTCCATTGTTATTCAAAGCCAATACTCTGATGTTAACCAGACGAGACACACCATGCATGCGTACCAGAAAATTGTTGCATATTGACAGCTAGAAAATGATAAGTTTAATTAAATTAAATGTTTTATTGAAAAAGAAAAAATTATGATCAGATAACATAAGACTAAATGAGTCTTACATTTTAAAAATTATACCATCAATAGGAATAAGAAAAGTACATGTCACTAATAGAGTCAGAGAAAGATATATATTTTTTAAAATAAACTACTGTTAACATATTTACATCTGTCAATAAATTGAAACATATTTGAGAAAATATAATAAGGTATTTATTATTAATGACATACAGTATAAAACTTGTTAGAACTAACTTTATTTATACCAGAACACAAATGAAACTACTTCTTTTCTATAAACTGTGTTTTACAAACATTTATTTCACATGAACAAACACTCAGATTCAATGTATATTATATCAAACCCATATTACATAAGTCTATTTGTGTTATTATAATCATGAGAAAACCAATAAAAGTATTGTGTTCAACTTTTAACATTATATGTATAAAAAATTTAGATAAAACAAACAACAATTAACAAATAATAGAAAAAATGCTTATAATAATTAGCAGTTATTACTTAATTAATTTAAATTTGAGTAAATTTGTAACGTTCAGTAATTTGATCTTATTATTCGAAGTAAAAAAGTACAGTTTGAAATAAGATATTAAAAAATCAAAGCAAACAACAAAGAAGATGCGTTTAGCACTTACATTTTCGATACGGCTGTAACTCTCAATGTTGTCCAGGCGCTGTAGTTCGTTTTGATCAAGGACTAAAGTAATAATCGTTTTAGATTCTTCTGGGGGCGCTTTCTCTATTTTCTTCAACCCACGCCGCGACAAATCTAATGTTTCATTCCTTGTTTCCTCTGTTAAACATTTTAAATTTCCATTAATAAGGTATGTTGCGGTGTGATTTATCGCCATAGCCGTTACTTACCCATTTTTGCTAAATTTACTGCATTTTTAGTTTAAATAATGTAAATGGTGCAGTTATCCACAAAAATCAACATTCGTAAATCAACGTTCTGAAGCTCACAACAAATAAAAATTTTATTACTTGTCAATAATCAACACTTTCAAATATTGTTTATAGTTATGCAACGTTAATCATAATTTTCATTCGGCTAACATAATTTAAGCCCATGAGAATATTTGGAGAAACTGTAGTTTGAATTAAAATTAATAATTTTGAATTTTACAATCGCAACTTTAACAATTGTAACAGACAAGCATCTAGTAAGATTTAGTTTTTGAACTTACTCGGATTGACATTATGAAATTAAGTTGCGTTCATTTAAAAGAAAATTTTGCATTATAGAAAATTTTTCAAGGAGAACAAAAAAATTTAATAATTATTATGGATTATAGAATCTATGTAATAGTATTTCTTATATATTCAGAACTGAAAAATTGTTCACAAAAAATGTATATAATAGATTGAACGTGGCAAATGTTTAAACAATATTCGTCTTTAAATGTATTTTTTTAGCTTATTTATGGATAGAAATAGATAAAATTTTAATTTCCTAATTCGATGAGTAAATGATTTGATTTGCATCTATATTCTATGTTGTTAGCATTAGTCTATGCTTAAAGCGTACTGGCGGCGGGGGCTATTATAGTGTTGGTGAGGTTAGATTGAAATAATTACGAAAGAATTGTTTTTATCAAAGCTTGATCATAAGTAAAAACATTAATAATGTTCTGAAAATCAGATATCCTAAAACTATATAAAGAGACTGTTATAACAGTATTATTCATTCATTTTTATGGATAATTAAAAGGACGCGTTGGTTGACAATTCAATAGATTACTAGTTTGTTTTATTTATTAGCTTTCCAAATAAACAATTCTTATTAGAATTTTTATCTTATCTAAGCTAGTAACTTTAATTCAAACTGCTATTAGCTAAAAGTATAGATGTCATTTTCATGGCTATTTATAGCTGGTATAACCTCTTGTTTTAGGCGGGAAAAATGGCTTTGGCGAAGGGCCTTAGGCCTTTGCAGGTGGTTTCCATTATATTTTTTGTAAGGATCCTGTCGGTTTTTTTGGTGCGAACATGGTATGTCCCTGACGAATATTGGCAGAGTCTGGAAGTTGCCCATAAGCAAGTCTTTGGATATGGAGCTTTGACCTGGGAGTGGCAAAAGGGCATAAGAAGTTACCTATACCCTAGCATTTTCGCTGCACTGTACTCCATTCTTAAATTTACTGGATTGGACAATCCTGAAGCTGTGGTAGGTTAAAACTTATGTTCTCTTTATTTTTACAATTGGTCTGTACAATTCAAATAATATTTAAAATGTTAAATACAGGCTTTGGATTTTCTAATACAAGCACAAAATGTTCTCTTTCTTATTAAAACAAAACATCTGTCACTTGTATTAAAAAAATCAAAACAACATTGTTTTGAGTTATTGTTAAAGTAATAGCTTGTAAAAAAGAAAATCCAATATTGTGTGTGATTAGTGAATCTGCTTATTCTGTTTTAGGTTTTACTTCCACGCTTATTCCAAGCCATTGTTAGCACTGTAGCAGACTACAGCTTTTATAAATGGACAGGTGGGAGGAAATGGGCACTGTTTCTCATTCTCACTCCATTCTTTTGGTTTTACACATCTGGAAGGACACTACTGCAAACCATGGAGACTGCTTTGGTCTCAATAGCCCTATCAATATTTCCATTCAAAGATGGAAAACTTGGTTATTATGAAAAAGGTAAGGCTTCATTTTTGTTATTTTTAATTTGTTTTAGTTTAATGTGTCTCGGCGAAATCATGCTGTCATAAATTATTATGTCTGTTATCATTCGTAACCTTAAGTTCGTTGAATTATGGGCTAGAAACTGTTATTTGTTTCAATAATTGACATAGCAATGCTATCTTCAACAGAAAGTAACAAATGGGTGTGGCTGGCCTGCATTTCAACATTTCTACGACCTACTTCAGCTCCAATATGGCTTGTGCTAGCTATTTATAACATTTCGACAACTTATCAAGGCAAGCTAAAATTAGTGACACACACCTACATACCTATTGGGTAAGCAAACAGTTCTTTGAAAACTAACTCGTGTCAAAAGTATTTCTTGATATATACAGAAACTGGTTATCTCTTTCCTATTGCCATTATATGGTGACTGAAGAAAGATTCAGCATGTTCATGTGTATTTCTTGAAATTATGTTCATTTTTATAATCAAAGTTAAGTACAATTTAATATAAATGCTTTTTTAACTTTTTCCACAGAATGATTGTTAGTGGAGCTCTAGTGGCTTTGGACACATATTTCTATGGGAAACTCATAATCACACCATGGGAGTTCTTCAAGTTCAATGTCCTGCATGATATTGCATCCTTCTATGGAACACACCCATGGTAAGAATCAGCACATGAGATTACATGTTTTTATGGTAACCAAGTGCCTAGAACTGTGGTCTTTATGTTAGGAGTTTTTAAGGTGCAAATTAAATGTTAACTGTTTGTAAGATAACTTCTCAGTTATATAATTAGGGCATGTAATACACTCCTCTACTGCTCATATCGAACCAGAGAAAAAAGTGTCTCATTATCTCAGTTGCCAATTTATATATTGCATTTTTATTTGCCAATAGCACTTTTTATTATTAGTCCTTGTATGAATCTGCAAATAAGTTAAGGTCTATAGAAGTTTATTATAAGAGTTTTGATGGTTTATGTTTGTTTATTTATATTAAAAAATCTGTTTCATAACTCCATAATATTTATCGTTCAAATGTCTCCTATGATAAAGTTGGTTTTATTATTAATACATACAGACTTTATCAAACATCATCTATCTGGAAGCAGTGTGAGAGAATTTTAAGCTTTGCAAAGGGAGATTTTGCCCTGCTGTCTTCCCCTTAGTTAGGAGATATGGCAGTTAATGTGCGGTGAGGCCATGCAGTAACATTCTGGTGATGCAAATATGCATTGGCTTGTCCGGGAAGTGTCACAACCTCACAGAAGACTGGCATGAAGTAGCTAGTAGTAGTACAAAGGATATACTTTGTTTGTACTACTACTAGTAGAAGTATATACTTTGTTTGTATTAGTGTCTGACGTAACCAGGCCCACATTTTAAAAGGTTAGCAACTAATTTGCAACCCTTCAGGTGTTGAAGAAGTCTATGGGTGGATCGGTAATCACTTTGAATGGCCTGCCAACTTTTTACATTAAAAAGTATTAACCATGTCTTTTGGATGGTTTCAGGTATTGGTACTTAAGCAGTGGTCTTCCTGTTGTCCTTGGTATCAATGTGTTGCCCGTCGCGTGGGCCATCTACACCGTACTAAGGCGCCGCCAAGAAAACCGGACCGGAATGCTCTTGTTGGTAGCTGCGGCCCTGCATTTGACGTTGCACAGGTTCGAAAGCCAAATTTGCTACTTACTTTACAAGAAGGTAAGATGGTGTAACATGACTCTGTCGCGAAGTTGCCAAGGTATTGGCTTCGGCGCCGGGGGTCGTGGGTTCGATTTCCGCACGGGACAACTATTTGTTTGACCCACAGATAATTGTTTCGGATCTGGGTGTTTACAACACAGGATAACGTTGTCATGCGTTAAGGGCAATGTTTAAACATGGGACAATGTGTGAACGTTTAAATTAATTATGTTTGACGGTTTGTTGAGGGTGCGAGCTGATAGAAATCGTCACGTAAAGACAAAGCTCTATGACCTCTTCATTCCACTCTCAGCTAACACCTAAGCCAATCTACTAACACACGCCATTTAATTGAGCAATGTGGAGAGTACCAGTGCCGCGCGGCAGGAGGCTCGTTTTATTTAGTACTAGCTTTTCGTCTGCGACTTCGCTCGCTTTGAAGCCCTTAAATAAATATTTTTCCTTAAAAAAAATTTCCAATTAAAAAAGCCTCAAGCTCTAGACTATCTGTGTACCAAATTTCATTTAATTCGGTTCAGTAGTTTGGGCGTGAAAGCGAGACAGACAGGCAGAGTCACTTGCGCATTTATAATATTAGTATGGATTTTTGTTTATTAATCATTGATTCACTTGATTGACAAAATTCTATTGTTAATTTTTCAGATAATATAGAAATATTATTTTGCCTTGTTAATTATTAAAATAAGCAGATAAAATTTTTCATTAATTAAATATTAGCATAATATACACAACCTTACATAATGGAATTCTTCCAATATCAGGGGATTAACAAATATTAAGTACAGTTTAGAATATAGATGAATATGTTTGTTTCTGTTTTAACATTTTCGATATATTATTGTAAATTTCTGAATAATAATAATTCTCTGACACTAATAATAAATATATAATTTTATTTACAGTTTCATACAGCATAAAGAGTTTAGGTTTGTATTGCCGCTTCTACCAATACTGATGTACTTGGCTCAAAGTGTCATCGTACCTTGGAGCAGGAAAGCTACGCCGTAAGTTTGTTAAGTTTTATTATCGTAAATTATGTTTGTTACAATTATAAATCTTCTTCAATTGCTGATTTGTGGCTTTTCGCAGGTGGAAGTTGTATTTGGTAGCTGGTAGCTTGCTGTTGGGGAATGCTGTGCCTGGTGCTTATTTGGGGCTGGTCCACCAAAGCGGCACTGTACAAGTTATGCCCCTGCTCAGAGAAGCGATCGGAAACAACAATAGGTCTTCAATTCTGTTCATGATGCCCTGCCACTCCACACCATTGTACAGGTATGTGTTTACTAGCTATATTTTTTAAAGTGTTAAAAATGTGAATTTTTTATTGAAAAATTGTCGAAATATTTTTCCGCTGCGGAATTCCGTCCAAAATCATTTGACGAGCATTTCTACAAATTCCCCTGTTGTACCGAAATCGTGGATACCTCACGGCCGAGTGAAGCTCCGACCTCAATCCGCCACAGGCACTTTTATTTTGTTTATGTGAAAAAAGCGAGAAAGCGGTTCACCTGATGTTAAGTGATTAACGCCAACCATGGGCATCAACAAAACGCGAGTGTTATACTTATACTTCACGCTGGTCTTCTATTACGCCGTGCTATCCCCGGACTAGACTGCTCATTCGTGCAACAGCCGAATATACCGTGTGGCCCTACCACAGTGAGATGCGAGTATATTGGGGAAACAATTCAAAATTGGATGTTTTGGGCGAGGCCAAAGTTATTTGGATTCGAAACCCAAACAAACCTACCAACCAGGCCATGTTCTATCGGACTATACAGGTGGCTGTTCTAAAGGTGTTTATTGAAATAAAAACAAACTTTTTTTTTTGAAAAACATTGCCATTCCATTCCCTTAAAAAATAGAACTTGTTGACAATGCGGTAGTCATTCATAAATGCTTCGTAAACTTTTGAACCGAACTTGTATGCGTGTTAGTTATGATCGCGCGTAAAATAAATGAGTTGCCTATAAATCACGCACTTTTTGAGATAAGTTCAAATGAATGTATTTAGAGTGATTTTAAATATTTATCATTTTTTTATATAACATTATTTATGTCTAGAATTTAATAAAAAGAAAATGGATACACTTAAAAAGCCTCCCTGTATTATCTTCTAACCAGCTATCAGTATATCAATCTCTTCAACTGCTTATGGAAACTGTACGAGCGCATCATACTCATTAGTCTAAAGGAGTCGTGTCTACCCCAACAGGAAGCCCTGGAACACCCTGAAAGAGTACAAGCGTTAACAACCCCATACATTATTACCACTAACTGCCCTGGAATATTGAGTGCGTACCGTCAACGCGATTGCACGAAAGTGGACAAGCGCAAACTTTTCCTCCACTATGCACCTTTTTGCTCCAACTATTTACTGGTCACTGCACATGGTCGATAATAATATATCTTAAAGTAGACCAAGTTTTCTTCTTAATCGGCCTTTATTGGCAGAATGGTCGTGGCTAACGATGGACAGGATTGCGTCTCGTCGCTGTTCGATTCAAGGCAGCCGCACGTCTCGCGATGTTCCTCCATCGGAGGGGGCCGTTAGCAATGCGAGCACATTGTACTGCGGTGGCTTTCGTGGTGCTGGGGACGAGGTCAATCCAGCGCGGGGCGGCTCGACCTCGGGGTCTTTTGCCTTCTTGAACTACAAATTGAACTAAAATAACTAACTAATATAATAATTCGCTGTAGCCACCTGCACGTGAACGCGACGGCGCGCTTTCTGCGCTGCGACCCCCCCGCCCCGGGCGAGACTTACGAGTCGGAGGCGTTCTACAACAACCCGCTGCGCTGGTGGAGGGCCGAGTACTCCAGCCGACAGAGCCCGGACCTGGTCGTCATGTTCGACGTGCTGAGGGGCCGCGTCGAGGCTCTGCTGCAGGGCTACACGCTGCTCCACGAGCTGCCACACACGCAGGTACAGTAACAAACGGACTGTACACGTCCCACTGCTGGGCAAAAGTCTCCTCTGTACCGGCGGTGTCTTATTCCCAGCGTGCAACGGCGAAGACTGTTGCACGAAGGCAGCTTCGTCCGGAGAAGTACAACGACCTTACAGAAGACCAGCGTGAAGTGGAAGTTATACTTCTGCGTTTCGTCTGGCCAGTGAGGTAGCCAGAGACCACTTTATTATAAGGTGTAGCGCATTTGCACACCTAAGGGTGTTGCAAATGTCACTGGGTGGTGGTTATTACTTAACATCAGCTGAATCTCCAGCTCGCTTTCATCTTCTTAAATTAAAAAAAAAACTGTCCACAACGCGACCCCACTGCAAATTGGCATATTTCACATATATTCAAAATATTGTTATCAAAAAGATTCAGACGTCCGAGACTGTCATGTGAACACTGAAAACTGTCCGTAACGTAGAGAAATAATGTAAAAAAAAACAATAAATTCGCAAATATAGTTGCATTTAGTATTGTGTATTTGCAATGTAAACATGATCATAATGTCTGCCTTTCCATTCGAGGTTCGCAGTTCAAATCATAGCGGCATATTGTAGTTTTTAGATAACTACTCTTTGGATTCTTATTTACAACTTTTATTGGTTTGTGCTCAGTTTACAATGACAGGCTTATCGCCGACCACGCTTTTAAACTTTCTAAGCGTGTCAAATCCTGGCAATCTAGTTACAAACTTATAATAACTTATAATATAAATGTGATTATTCTTAAGAACAATAATGATTACGTCTCTTAGAAGTGAATTGTTTAATTAACTGTGGTAGGGCCTCGCAACAATGTTGCACGAATGGGCAGGTCCGTCTGGGTTAGTACCACGACCTCACAGAAGACCGGCGTAAAGTTGAAGTTTAGTACTTTTGCGATTCGTCTGGTGAGTGAGGTAGCCCAGTCCCTCTTTATTAAGAGGTGGCAACGCATCTGCAACCCTACGGGAGTTGCAAATGTCCATGGGCAGGTGGTTATTACTTAACATCAGATAAGCTGCCAGCTCGTTTGCCACTTTCTCACATAAAAAAAAACAGATTGATTTAAGTGTACATGATATTTTATTTTGTATTATTTCTAACTTAATTAAAACTTAATAATATATTGTGACAGTTCCCGAAGGGAGAAGTCGGGGAGAAAGTGCTAGTATATCAGAAGACGAAGTCTCAAGCGAAGCCAACAACAGACGAGGCCATTTAACGACTACAGAGCACATCAAGTGCTGAACGCCGGGACCGTTAGCTAAATCTAATCTACACGACGTTTATAAAAATATACACTATTGCATACATTTTACGATCTATTTTGGTGTACAGTAATTTTTCTGTGTTTTTATACACAGCCATTTCGCTGTTGTTAAGAAGTTTTTGAGATGATGCAGAATAATTTTTACATGAGGCTACAGAGACGGCACTAACATTATAAAACTGCTATTAACATTATTTACGGGACAAGTGTAGTCTTGTTTGTAACTGCTTAAGACTGAACCTTGCAAAGAATTGAAACTCAGTGTTTACAAGTTTAATTTAAATTTATGCAATGTAAATTTATATACCAGTGTCATATAAATGTTCTATTAATTTATTTGAGCTTATGAAACGTCTTAAAAAACTTTTCCTAACAACAGCGATTTTAGATAAGAATTTTTCATATTTTAAATAGAACAAAAAGAGTTTTCGCGTTTTTATGATGGAAATTTTGACATATATTTGATTGATGGGTCTTTTGTCCTATTAAATGTGTTCTGATGAAAGTAGATTTAATATAATGTAAAAGTATTTTTTTTTTCTTTGAGTTTTAAATTGCTATGCCAGGTTAAGTAATTAGCAAACAACTTATTGGTTTTGCTTTCGAATAATATAATTTTAAAATTTGTTCGTTAATCTCGGTCTATGAGATTAATTTTTCGTAATTCATTTTCTAAAGGTATTTAGAGATTTTCTGACCCTTGCGTACCACAATTGCCTCTATATTTAAATGAAATGTGTATTTTGTAACTTGATATACCAAAAACGAAAAAAAACTCTTGTACTAGTATAAATTTTATATGAAAATGTTTGATTCAATATTATTATTTTTGGAACTTTTCCTCATATCGTAATGGGTATTGTAAAGCTAGTATAGCATTTAAAAATCATCCATAGTAGTATTTTTTATAATAATCTAAAACTTACGTGTCATATAAGAGAAGATATAAGAACATATAAGCAATAGGCAACAAGAGGTATTTTTTTTTATGTGATTTAGCAATCCGAAACTATTAAAATGTAATTTGATTTTTCCGTTTTTGGTATTAAAGAATTATTTTTAAGTTATTTTTAAGTATAAAGAAAATGCATTTGCCACGATAATCCATGACCTAAGTTTACAGGACAAGCTCGTACCTACTAATTTATTTCCATAGTGCACTTTGCCAAAGCTTAACGAAGTAAAGATTGACTATTTGTTATATTAATAAAATTAAAGGCGAAAGCATTTTGTCGCTACCACCGAAATCGAATACACAATAGAATTAAATGTGTCTTCCCGCTTTTCTTTCTTAAAACAAATTGCTTACAGTTCCGAAACTATCGTACAGACTCTGAATTGTTACTGATTTTATTACATCTGTTATAATTAATCTAAAAAGATCCATACATTTTTAAAGATCCTTCTGTACACATCTCACTTTATGAAACCATTTTGATTGATCGTGATTTAAAATTCCCGATGTTACAAAAACTTTATACATTCATAGTCACTGCAAAATATTAAAAATTTTAATTAAAAGCGGTATAACATGTACAATAATTCTTTATATACCAATCATCTTTTTTGTATCAAAATTCTCTAAGCATTTCTCAGAGAATTTAAATTTATTAGATACTAAATATTTACTATATATATATACTAAAAACTTAGATAAGTGTTTTGGAACTGTGACCACTTTGGTTAGACATTAGTATTAATTGTCATATTGTTTGTAGCGTAATTTTACTATTAGTGATAGTATAATTTTAATTGGAAATTGGTGAATAATTTTTAATTTTTGATTTGAAGATTTAATTTAAAAAGATTAAGATTGCAATACAATTGAAAGTTCATACATAAGCTATATTTTGAATTGTATATTTTTAGAGTAGATTTGACTATTGTCTTGCTCAAGTCGGAAAGACAAGTATTTTAAGATATCACCAATTATATCTGACATATTAGTTATTTGCTTGCTAAATCCTCTATATTTGGAAATTTTCTTGATGAATGTTTAGCTAGCAAATAACGTGGGACGATGTTATTTGTGGAGTATTTACAATCTGTTGACATCTTTTATCCTTTATTCGGGAAACAATAGATAATACGATCTCTATTGAGATGCCAAAAATTTTCCTCCTATGTCCGCCCTATGCATATAAGATCTATTGTAACTTAACTTTTTTAGTCTTGTGTTAAAATCTGAATATGATTCTTCGAAACAAAAACATTTTGGCTTAAATATTGCCATAGTCCATCACGTATAGACTATGGCAATATTTAAGCACATGACAGTATTCACGTAATTAGCGCTGAATTTGCGCGCTGTATGAATACTGGGCATTTCCGATTATTGTTACTTTGTAATTCTAACTTCGATTCATTTTCTCGTATCGTAAAATATTTGTAGGTGATAACGAAGTTTTCTAGTTTCACCAATAATTACAACAGATTTATAAGAAATCCTAATATTTGTGTGTATAGGGCGTTATTTCCTTTATGCCGTAGATTGTAGCAACGATTTTGAGCAATTTAATTTCAATTTATGCATAGGTTTGTTGTTTTCTTGTATAAAGAAATTTAAAGTGTGAATTTTAATAAAGATTTTATTTTCAACAAAGACATTAATTCTGTTTTCAAATTTCTATGTACTATGTTTAGTTCTAAAAAATATTGAAACAATTCCAGCTGATCTAACACCCGCTACAATACATATTTATAAAATACATTTTCTTAGTTTTGAAAACTGTTTCAGTCACGTAGAATGTGAGTCTAAGAAGCAAATACAACGCGCATGCGGAAGTTGTAATGTGTGTTATGCATTTAACGCCGTAAGCCTCGTGAATAGGTTAAGTATGTTTAGTTTGCGAGATAACCTCGTACAGGATGATGGATTATTGTCACGCTCTCGAATTTATTTTAACTGTGGTGGGGCCATTAAAAGGTGGCAACGTATATGCAACCCTACAAGTGGTGGTTATCACTTAACATCAGGTGAACTGTCAGCTCTTATCACCTCATTAAAAATATTTTTGTAGGAATATGTATGATTTCCTAGTAGTACAATCGTATGCGATGGTGTCCAAAAGATAGTGAAAAGGTTGACGAGCCATACAGATCTACCGGACCATATCCGAGCAGCGTGCCTATTGATTGGATGGCAAGGCAAGAGCCTTGGGACCTGGAAGTTGAAATCCTCGTGTCATTGCTCTTCTGGCGTAAGGAGACAAAAGTTCAGGGCCATACGCTAGCCTCGGAGCTGCTGCGGATGCGCAGGAACGTCCTGCATTCAAACCATCGTGGAATGGCAGCAAATGGTGGAGCTCCCCAGCGTCGACCTAACAAACTGGGCCAGATTTAGAGGTCAGGAGGCCTCGGGACAACAAAGGAGTGGAGGCCCCTTGACCTCAAATTATTTTCCATTTATTTCTGTTAATATTTAATGTTATCATGTTTTCACAAATTACTATATTAGGTAAAACGCGAAAAAAAATATGAAAGTATCAGTATCAGCCTATACATGTCCCACTGCTGGGCAAAGGCCTCCTCTGTACCGAGGGTATCAGGGCACACTGCGGATTGGCGGACTTCACATATTTCGAAAATATGGTTCGAATATACAGGTTTCCTCACGACGTTTTCCTTTACCGCAGAGCACATGATAATAATTAGTCTCAATTTGATTTTTTTTTACCGAAGACTAATGTTACCCCTCGTTTGTGGAGGCCCTGGGGCTGTTGTCCCGGTTGCCCTCCCCTAAATCCGTCTCGCTGCCTCGCTGTCGTGATTCGCGCTATGGTTAAATACAATACCTTAGGAATTATCGAAGACAGGTATCAATAGGTGTAACTTTACTAACTATTTTATTTGAAAGAAAAAAAGAACAAATCTATGTTATTTATTTTTATCGAACCATACTGTATGTAACAAGTTGAATTAACTAATATCATATAAAGAGATAAAAGCATTAAGTATCAAGGGTCGTTCTAACCCACATTGATTACCCGGTCAGGGGTTCACAGCGATAAGTAACTAAACATGTTATGAACTCTTAGTGTTATGCTTAGTTCTTATTATATGCGCTCGTGTTAAACATGAAAAATTTAGTAATTCCAATAACAGCTTTGTGTTTTGCTACTACAACCGTCCAAACTTTGCGAATAAAAAACAGTGCCAGGGATAAATCAGCGGATAGAGATGACGGAAAGAGCAGTTTGGTGTTTGTTTTCGATACAACAGGCTCTATGTTCAATGACCTTAGGCAGCTGCGCGAAGGCGCGGAAATGATTTTGAAAACGGCTCTAGAAGACAGCAACATCATCGCTGATTTCGTGTTTGTGCCGTTTCATGATCCTAGTGAGTATCAAACGTTATTCCGCGAATAAATTAGATACTTCCGCTAATTATTCAAAAATTAAGTGTATTTAATTGATAACAAAAAAGTTTAGTTAAACCAGACTAGAATTAATAGTTTCGTTTTGCTTAGTTAATTCTTGATGACAAGCCTTTATTTCATAAATGTTAAGTAGTAATCAAAGCATATTCTAAATATCATTCATTAAAAAAACTACACAAAAGTGTGAACGTAACTATAGCTTTCAACTTTTCGTCCGTAACCCATTCATACATCTAAGCATATTTATTGATTGGTTAGGTACGTACGGCTACTATGCATATAATTTAACTATCATCAGTATGACAACAAACTGGTATAAATTTCTTTTTATGTGAGAGTGATGTTGAGTGGTAACCACTGCCCATAGATATCTATAACATCCGAGGAGTTTCCGATGTATAGTAAACCCCTAAAAGAGTACACTCGATGACTTCACTTTAAAAAAAAAAGAAAATTGCCCTTACTGTAGGTAACATTGTCCTGTATTTTAAGCTTTACAAACATAAATTTCAACTGGACAGATACCTAGATGCGGAACAACTATCTTTGGCACAAACAGTTGTTCGATGTGGGAATCGAATCCACGACCCCCGACGCCGAAGCCAATGCCGTGACCAGAGTGTTCACTGAACAGACGAAACGCAAATGTTCAACGCCAGTCTTTTGTAAGGCTGTGATACTTTCGTGAAAATAACGCCCGGTTTCTGAAACACTGACCTTTCCAATCCATCTATTAATCTAATCTAACCGTCCTTTTGGCAACTCAAATGGCATTTGAAAAGCCATGTGACAGCTGATTAGTTGACATCTACGATGATCAGTAAGAGTAGCAAATAATTAATGTAGGTCTATAAGTTTCTCTAAGAGTTTCAAATAATTCCATTCTTTAAAAAGTCAACTTCAAACCCGTATATGAGTGTATCTTAAACATTTTCGGTAGTATATCAGGGTATTTTGTATTCGTATTGTTATGTACCCTTAATTGCGTGTCATTTTGCCTACGCGCTATACACGCGTCACAATTTGCTTACTCGCCAAACTACACATCACTACATAGTATTAAACAAAGTCGTCCCGCTGTCTGTCTGTCCCTATGTATGCTTCTTTTTAGACCTTTAAAACTACGCGACGGATCTTGATGCGGTTTTTTTACTAGATAGAGTGAATCTAGAGGAAAGTTTATATGTATAATACATTGCACCCGTGCGAAGCCGGGGCGGGTCGCTAGTACACTAATAGGTAAGAAATATATAGAAAATATTTTCCCTGGTCTCGTGTTACTGTCATTTTTGTACTTTCAGCCATTGGTCCCGCTACCGTTACCAGAGACAAAGACGTGTTCAAAGCTGCTCTGAATATAGTGCGCGTTTACGGCGGAGGCGACTGCCCCGAAAAGTCGCTAGGGGGCATCCATCTCGCTTTAACCATCAGCCGTCCTAGGTCCTTCGTTTACGTGTTCACTGACGCCACCGCCTCTGACCATAAGCTGGTCGGCAAAGTGTTGGACGCCGTTCAGAGGAAGCAGAGTCAGGTCAGGAGACATTAAGATACATTTCATACTATCGGTGGTCAGCCAGGCCCAATTGGGTGGAGAAATCTAGTTTAGTTTTCTTTTCCATCTCGATCTACAACTATTTCTAAATAAACTAAACTAGGCATTATCATACATGGTCCTGGCGTTTAATTACTAAGAATACTTACTACTAAAATACTTCAATAGCCTGAGTTCAAATCTCTGTGCCGGCACCAATGAAATTGTTAATTTTAAGCTTAACACGTGCTCGGCGTGAAGGAAAACGTCGTGGGGAAATCTGTATGTTTCGAAATAATAAGAAAACAATATTTTGAATGTCTTCAGTGGGGCCGCGTGATAGACTATGTCCTAATACCCTCACTACAGTGAAGGCATTTGTCGAGCAGTAGGACATATATAGACAGTGTACAGGGTAACGTAACTTTGGATAGAAATACTGCTATTGTGGGCATATAGAATAGTAACAAGGTAGTCTCTGAACGTTGGACGAGGCGACTGAAAGGGGTCCATCCATAATGAGCAAAGGAATAATGGGGAAGAGATAAAAGAATATACAGAGGTTATTAGGGCAAGGTCTTTAAGTTTTAAATGCATTATTGTTTGAAAATTGCACGAAGCGTTGCAGTAAGAATGTTTGTTGAGGAATAAAAAAAACCCTAGCGTAAAGCGTACTTCGCAGGTGGTATTCGTGCTGACGGGGCACTGCAACGACCTGAAGAAGCCTTCCTTCAAAGTGTACCAGCAGATCGCTACCGCCAGCTCCGGGCAGGTGTTTAATTTGAACAAGACCAACGTGCACAAGGTTTGTTCGCGTTTTCTTTATTAATCTACAGGCAGTTATGGAACAAGGCGATAAATTCCATGAAGATTATATTTAAAAATAGCGTCCTATGTAAACCTTCTTCACTTTGCATGGATTAGCAGTGTAAGACTTTATCTTAATTGAAACATGTTCTCGCCTCCAGTCCGTAGAATATTAAATCTTCGTCGTGGATTAACTAGACTCCACCAGCTAGATACGGCCCTTTACGTTGTCTGCGCATTCGCTCAGCACTCAGCATTAGCCTGAGTTATCTATTGAGGGAAGAGTCACCTCTACTGGCCATTGGGATTCAGTGTGGACTGAGGTCCTGACCAACAAAAAATCAAAGAATTGATGTTCACTGATGATATTGTTTCCAAGGTGTTGGACTTTGTGCGGAGTTCGATAAGGGGGCGTAACGTCAATTTGGCATCAGCGGTTCATCCCGCCGGCTATAACTACACGCAAGAGGTATTTTGTTTCATTATGATTTATTCTATATATTCATAGACGGACAGATTCATATTTCACGGTGCTAACGGCTTAAACAATTTCCTGCGTAAATCTATCCCAAGACAACTATGAACCAACTCATCTCATTTTAACAAATCTTTATGTATATATTTTTTCTGTACTCGTGTATGTTATTCAACTCCTCCTAAACGGCTTACCGGCTAAATTATATATTTACATTTCGCAATACACGTGCTATCTGGGAAGATATGAAATCATTAGATTGTTTCTTATAAACAATATGACGTTAGAGGAGAGAAAGTGAGTGAAATATTACTCAAAGATGTCTCCGATGCGTAGTTGACAAGGTAGTGGCTTCGCCTCCGGGGGTCGTGGGTATGATTTCGACACGGAACATCTATTTATGTGACCCACAGATAATTGCCGTGATAGCTCCGGCTTGCCTTTGATTCAATTTGCTCGAGCAACCTGAGTTCGATCCCCGGTGCCAGCACCAATGAAATTGTTAATTTTAAGTGCTGACTTATCACGTGCATAAACATCGTGAGCAAACCTGCATATTTTCGAAATAATAACAAAAAAAAATATTTCGAATATATGTGAAGTCCGCCAATCCGCAATGGGGCCGCGTGGTGGACTATGCCCTGATACCCTCAGTACAGAGGAGGCCTTTGCCAGACATTCAGAAGATGTTACTTTACTTACTTGACAGATAATTGTGTTTGGGTGGGTGTTTGTCCACGTTTTTTTCGTAAATCGTTACAACACAGGATAATGTTATCCTACAGCAATGTTTTAAAATAACAAATGACAAAAATTATTGCGTATTAGATCCCAGTGGACAGCAGTGTGGGCGAGGTGACGGTGTCCGTTTCTGGCGCCAAGCCCAAAATCAAGGTGGTCAACCCCAGCGGGGAGGAGCTGGTGGGGCCGCCGAAACTGATCAAGACCCTCGACCTCTCCGAGATAATGGTTTGTAAACGGCAGCTCAGCTCTAAGATCTGACTCTTTCCGTTTCATGAAGGATGGCCAAATAACTGCAACTGTGTGAGGATGTAATAGTGCTTTGGTCAAAAGTGGTCATATACGCTTATCTCTACTAATATTATCCCTTATATATATTAATATTATAAATGTGAAAGTAAGTTTGTTTGTTACGCTTTCACGCCAAAACTACTCAATCGATTATCGTTAAACTTTGTACACATATTCCTAGAGGAATAAAAAAGGAAATAGGATTCTTTTTATTAAAAAAAATAAGATATTTATTTAAAGGCTTCGACGTTAGCGAAGCCGCGAGCGAAAATCCTTTATAAAGAGAAGTATTTTATAAAGAGTGATTATTTGTGTCAATTCCCAATTCAATTTTAATCAAAACTGGCCCGAAACGAAATTTAGTCCCAGTTGGTCCTCGTGGGCTTGATTCCTGCTTTGGACTAAAGACTTACAAGCAATTGTTTCGGATTTGAACTTAGTTTCAAACAATTGGGTGAAACTTTTGCATACGTTAACTGCAGCTGAAGGCAGCAGTTTTAGTAATTGATATGATTTGTTTGTTGCATATTTTTAAACAAATTTATGTAGTCCCAAAATGCAGGTGCTTGGTAATTAGTAAACGCAGTGTTCTTTTGTACCTAAAATAATTATTATAAATATATAAACATCCAGACACTAGGAAAACACTAGGATATCACTAGTTCGTCACACAATATTTTTCCAGCATGGGCGTCGAACCAGCACCTTCTCACGCAGGAGACAGTTCGTCCACTACGTTGGTCGTTTCTTTCTACTTCCAGATTGTCAAGGTCATGGAGCCGGAGCCAGGTAACTGGACGATAACGGTCGGCAGCGAGAAGGACTACTCCGTCAAAGTGTCCGGTCTCTCGGACCTCACCTTCAATCATGGCTTTTCCGTGGAGAGGCCCAATTCCATGGAGGAGGCGAGCTACAGACCTCTGAAAGGTATGTCAGAGTGTCCATAAGAAATAATTATCATAGATACATACTACAGTAAAAAAAAGCAATACAAAAAAAATATCAAATTTAAAACTATGTTGTGACATAAAAAGAAATTTACTCAGTTTTAGACACTAATCAGACAAATAATACTGCGTCAGATTTTATATCAATCATATTTAAATATTACACAAAAGCATTAATAATTATTTTAACTGTTGAAGATGCATTGCACTATGTATTATATATATTGTAATCATATTTCATTGCCAAATAATGGTAAAAAAAAATTACCGCTGAGTTTCTTTCACCGGATCTACGAAGGTCAGTGACTTTTCTTTACCGAACCGATAGTAGTTTTGACAATCAATAAGTGTAATACTTCTATATCCTTACTTAATATTATAAAGGCGAAAGTTTGTATTATATGTATGGATGGATGTTTGTTAATCTTTCACGCAAATACTACTGAATGGATTTTAATGAAACTACAATAATATAGCTTATACATCAGAATCAGACATAATTTATATATATATATATATATATATATATATATATATATATATATATATTTTATGAATATCTGTTTTGGTGTATTAATGTTACACCTTCAGCCAATTCTACGCAGACGTAGTCGCAGGCAGCAGCTAGTATTGAGTAAAGATACTTGAATTTGAATTTGTGTCCATCCAAACCTTTCCGGTCCTCCACAAGCCTTGAAACTCCAACCATATCTGTAACTCCAACCGCGTTTAGCGACGAATGAACGTCAACGGGGAATTCCCCTCATTGAAGGTACCTACAACCACATGCTGCTCTCGCTAACCCAAGCGGACCAGCGGATCAAGATAGACTTCGTGGAGATATTGACCACCGACGGAAAGACCCTATTCGAGGTGCCCGTAAAGGAGATTGATGGCGGCAGGACCTTTTTGGCCGAAGCGTTCGTCCCGCCGGAAGACTTCTTCTACATTGCCGTGAGTTTAAAACCGACTCCGAAAAAGGAGGTTCTCGATTCGGTTCTAGTTTTAGGAGTAATGTTTATTTTTAGTGTAAGTCTCGGCAGTCAAGATGAAACTTTTCGTAGATACGGGAAAGTTTAGTCTTGATCGAAATATAATTCTACGACGTCTTCATCTTCCATTTTACGACGGTCTTCTATAAGACCGATGCTCTTCCCTACATTGTAAGTTGTTTGCTGTTACGCCTGCCTCTACCGCAGTATAAAATGTGTTATCTTTGACTTCAACCATTTTATTTAATACTGATTATACTGACAATGTCCCTTTGGTTTATTTAAACTTGGTCAATTATTCTATTCGTTATGTTTTAACTTAATACCGTTTTGTTCGGCGAGTGCTTCAGTTTAGCATCTTCCCCTACAGTCATGGTCACTAACATGATATTTTAAATACTTAATAAAGCTTTTAATATTTCCAAATAATAGTTCATCGTTTGGTATGTTTATATTCATAGTGAAAATGTTATATTTACAGATCAACGGACACGATCAGAACGGACAGGAACTGAGGAGAATTGGTGTCACCGCCGTACAAGCAAAGTCACCCGGTAAGACATATATAGTATATATATTATTATTATTGGGGGATATTCATTTGTTTTCTCGTCTGGTTGGGTTTATAAATAAAAATAAAAATATAGATATATATTGCATATATAAAATAAATATTATGGATAAAAATAATATATATATCATTATTATTATTAGTATATACTTTATTGTACACCACAAAGAATTTGATACAATTAGGTATAAATTAGTATTAAAAGCTAGGTACAATAAGGCGGTCTTATCGCTAAAAAGCGATCTCTTCCAGACAACCTTAGGACGAGGAAAAGTAAACTAAATAGTGGGAGGTGTGCTCGATAAACTTGCTTAATACCAAAATAGACTTAAATATAATAAAATAAAAAGAAATTATAATAAACATACATAAACATACATAAATAGATATGTAATATATATGAATAACATAAATAAATACACGACAGAAGAATTAAATCGGAATATTGCCATTAAAAACTATGGATTACAAAGCGACAGATAATGTTGTTTTACGTCATTTTTAAACTTGTCTAGCGTCTTCTATAAGTATATAAAGGTATATATAGTATATAAAAACATATTTTTTTTTGTATATGACATTATAATTTTATATGAAAAAGGAATTTATGAACAGTGTAGTGTAACGCCGAGCTGTCTCTAACCTTTTAAATAAGAAGCTTTCCTCGCACTTGGAGGAATAAAAAATTGCAAATAAGCTTAAGTCTATCATTTATTTCAAGCTTAAAAATTAAGTCTTTCATTTATCTCGGGGAAGTATCTAGGTCCTGACAAAATCAGGATCTTGTTGAGTCTGCCGATTTGTATTAGAGATTCGTAATAGAGTCATTCAGTAGAATCTACTGTATGACTACCAAAGGGATAAATATAAAGACAAATGATCAATATAAAGATAACATATAATGCAGTGTTTTGTTAAATATTATTCTTTAATAAATTTAACTTAGAATGATAAATAAAATGAAAAATTGTTTCCTTTTTCAGAAGTTCCATATTTAACTGCACCTAAAAAGGTATGAGATATTAATGGGTATTGATGAGATAGCGTCTGCTTAACTTTAAAGAGTTACTTCCTTTGAATGCCAAAAACATTTGTTGAAAACCATCACTTTTTCGACACACATCAATACCATCAATGGTGGGACAATAATCTACCTGTAGACCTTAGCAGATAAACATACTCAAATTAAGACCAATAAAAGCAAGATACAATTTATCAAAACTATGTATTAAGATATTTATAAAGGGGATATTACTTCGTTGTGCCATAGTTATTTTTTTTAATATCCCTTCAATAGCTTTTTCTTAAATTTCACTATTTGCAGATTATATGTCTGATCATGATGAATTTTTGTAAAAAAAATGCAAAATATTATTTCGCAGGAGTCGAGCCTGCTTTTTAGGCATGCACTTATGCTCAATTTCCCCAGCGCGTGCAAAAATTTTTTTTGCTAATTTTTCCACAAAAAGTTGACATATTAAATTTCATCTTGAATCACTGTATTCATTACTATTATTATTAAAAATATAAAAAAAATATCAAAAAACTAATCATGTTGCACAATTGCTACTCTAGATAGAGGCTCGTTCCCACGAAAAAGTTGTCCTTAAGTGCTACGTGGATAGCCTGGTACCCGTCACCGCTTCGTGGACTACTGATATCTCCCGTATTCAGCGCCAAACTTCTAGTTTGTGAGTTACATAGTTATTATATGATCATCAATATTAACCACGTAATATTTTCATTAAATTATAAGGTAAATAATTCAACACTACCCTCATTTTATTGGTTTAGCCGTTTTCGAAACGCTAAGATGTTAAATCCGGTTCGAAGGACCAATAAATGTTGAATCATTAATAGTCCGTAACGGCTATTTTTTATTAATGCACCTTATTTTATTTGAATTTTCACTAGCTGACAACATCCTTTTTGAACTTTTGCAGGCAGAGCACTTCTATAGAGTATGTAATAGACGATATGAGTGAGGGAAATGTGGGCACGTACAGATGCTCTGCGAAAAACGTAGCTGGACGCAGCACTACCTCCACTAAAGTAGCTCTCATAGGTGGGTATATCACATAAGTATATAAAGTATTATGCACTATCAAAACTTAGTAACACTTTAATTTGTAAAATTATAAACTCTCACGTCTTCTTATGTCTTTTTGGTGAAAGTGTTTAAATTTGTTTGTGGAAAACCTCGAATGCAAACGGGGGAATTATATAAAGATCTGAGAATTTCCCATTAAGAATCCCGAAACCGAACTTAATCAGTAGAAAACATTACGGGAACGTTGGCCATGTTTTAAATCACTTCGCCAACTGCTATTGTACGCAGTGTTATGGGTTCGATCCCCGCCCAGGACAGAAAGTGTGATTCCGAGCCCGGTACTTTTTTTCAGCGTGACACGGTACATGATAATTACTATTTAACGTGGGTTCGGTTTTTTTTTTTCTTTTAAAAACATTGCCCTCACTTTAGGAAAACATTATCCTGTGTTGTATAGACGTTTTACAAACATAAATTTCACACGGACAAACACCCAGATGCGAAACAACTGTCTGTGGGTCACACAAATAGTTGTCCCGTGTGGCGATCGAACCCACGACCCCGACGCCGAAGCCATTACCTTGACAACTGCGCCACGGAGTCATTTGAATAGAAAGAAAAGTAAATAAATAAAATGAAAACCTTGGCAACTGCGCCACGTAGTAATTTCAATAAAAAGAAAAGTAAATGAATAAAATTGTGTATTTTATTTATTTATTTTTCTTTCCATTCTTCTATACTTAACGCGTGTTCCAGTCGATCCGCCGCAAGTTTCCATACTGCCAGGGAATATCACGGTCCCTTTGGGAGGTGACCTAACAATAAGTTGTTCGGTGTTCAGCGAGGTGCTTCTACTCAAGGGTCAGATCATGTTGAACGGTTCCGAAAATTCCGGTGAGTCTGAACCAACCGACAAACATATTCAATTCAATGACCTTTCTCGAATGACGTTACCGTTTCCAGCCTTTTTAAACGACTTCAAAAAAAGAAGGTTTCTCAATTCGAACGTATATATTTTTTTTATGTGTGTTCGCGGATAACTTCGTTGTTAATGAACCGATGTTGATGATTCTGTTTTGTTGGCAAGGAAATATTCCAAGGGTGGTACCATGATAAGGAAAACCGGATCTGATTGATGGCATCCCAGAGAAATCGGGGGCAATCCTCAAATGTTATAGCTAATGACAATGGTTTTAGTCTCTGGTTTGAAGTCGGGTTTTGGTTTGATAATAATTATATAATGTGATAGCCCTTTTGGAACAATTACTTATTGACTTGATACCTGCATATTATGATGACAGATACGATGCAAATAGCACGACCAATGATAGACTAACGTCCGTTTTCACCATCGATCACTAACTTTAAAGGTCACCTAAATAAATTTGAGTGCTAATTTCGTTTTCACCACCGCATCGATAGATTGTTCCGCTTCGTTCAGGGAAGTAACATCTTCCTGATAGATCAGTGTAAATTGAAAGTATATGTCGGTTAATGTTATGCTTCTGTGTCCGGTCAGGTCTGTAATGCCCATTGGAGGTCATAATCACATCACATCGAGCGAGTGGGCTCGTGTAAAACTTTATCTATTAAAAACAAATGTGGACTTCATTGCACTTTCAGCACAGAAGGACAAAAATAATAGTACTAATTTATATTTCAGTGAATAACTTTAAAATAACTCCAACAATGGACGGCTTTTATACATTCAACAAGACTTTTGCCAATGTTGGCGAAAAGGAAAAAGGGCTTTATACGTGCGTCGCGGCGAATAGGGGTGAGTAATATACATTATAAGAATTCAAATTATATTATTTGCAAAAAATATATTTAACGATAATATGAGAAAGTAAAATCAAAAATAGTATTAACGATACATTAATTATGAAATTTTAATTACAATATAGAAGTAAATTATTATTTTTAGAAATAATTGCACTATTACATATTAAACACTTCAATAGAAATAAACATCATTTAATAGAATTTAAGGTCATTAAAGTTAAGCGTGATAAAATAAGTCTAATAGTTTTATTTAACAATAAGAAATTGTTGCGTTATAGTCGAATTTACCAATCTTCTAAACTAAATATTGTCCGGATATCACATTGATTAATTTAATTGATTCCCAACTCAATTCATCATCGTTTATGGATGTTCCATGATCATGTGACTGACCAAAGTGAAATCGTAATATAAATGTTCATTAAGTTCGTGATACAAATGTTGATTTTTCACATAATTTAGCTCTACCATAGTGGTGTTGTAGATCCTCGTAGTGACTTGTAGCGGCCTCGTAGCATGTAGTTCGACTTCCCAAAAGACCGTCATACATATTGAAGTATCGTCACTTCTGTTAATAACTTTGCGTTTTCAATGGTGAATTGAATAACAGTAAATAAATGAATGCTCCTGTGTCTAGTTATTATGAGAATAGATAATATTCAGCAATGCTAGTAAGACATTAAAAAAAAGTATATTTCATTACGAATATTTTTAAAAACCTGACATTTATAGTTATTGTCTATGGCAAACAGCTAGCTCGTTTGCTACGTCTTTAAAAACCCGGTCTTTATATGTTACATAGTAATTATTGTTTATGGCAGAACCAGCTAGCTCGTTTGCAATGTCTTTAAAAACCTGACCTTTAAATTATAATGCATAGTAACTATTGTCTATGGCAGCCGGTGAGGTGAACCAATCGACGTACATTGAAGTGGAAGGGGAGCCAACTGCTCAGATAATAGGTCCCCACAACGTGAACAGACCTTTGCACGGCGATATGCAGCTCGTGTGCCAAGTGGAGGAAGCCGAAGTAGTGCAGTGGTCGGCGCCCAACGGCACGGTGGTCAAAGAGCAGCTAGTCAACGGTAGCTCCAGTTCGATTCTCGACGTTAGCAACGTCACTGACGACGGCGTTTGGAGTTGCACCGCTTTGAAGGGCTCTCACAGGGGTAGGTCTGTTTTTTTGATGAAACCTGAAAAAGATTTTTTTTTATGTGAAAAGTTGCCAAACGAGCAGACGGTTCACCTGATGTTAAGTGAATACCGCCGCCCATGGACATCTGCTTGTACACCCGAGAGTTATAGATGCGTTAACAACCTTTTGAAAATTGGGCTCCGGCTACCTCACTCACCATACGAAACGCGAAAGTATTTGTCTTACATCCACTTTACGCTGGGCTTCTGTGAGGTCGTGGTACTTACCCGGACGGGCCTGCCCATTCGTGCATCAGCCGAGGCTGCTGCGTGGCCCTACCACCGTTAAATGTTACTTTGTTATAATTTAATTAACCAGCCTTATCAACCCTATTTAAGCTACGGACGTTGCTCAACTATATTGTGTTTAGTACAAGAAGCACTATTATATTAATGACACAAATATTTAGATGACTCCGTGCCGCAGTTGCCAAAGTATTGGCTTCGGCGTAGGGAGTCGTGGGTTCGATCCCCACACGGGACAACTATTTGTGTGACCCACAGATAGTTGTTTCGCATCTGGGTGTTTGTCCGCGTGAAATTTATGTTTGTAAAACGTCCTTACAACACAGGATAAATTTATCCTACAGTAAGGACAATGTTTAAAAAAATATATAAAAATAAAATAAATATAAATTAACTTCTACGTTGTACGTAGGTTGTTTTGTTGGTCACACCACTAGTTTTTAGTGCTACCGCAGTATAATTTTCACATCCAATGGAAAATTAAGGCTAGACGGGTGGTATAATCGATGTCATAAGCCACGGTTATCAATTGATTCATTGGATTATAATCGTTCATTCAATTGTAGGGCTTTTTTCTAAATCTATAATCATTTCGGGAGTTTTTTAACTTTAAAAATAAAGTTCTACTTCACGTTAAAATTTTAGATCGAATGTTCTTCAGAGCTTTTGTAATAATTAGTTTCATTGTAATTTATTTATTTATATTATGTGTTAGTTTAATATATAGCGATAGAAAAAAGTACGAGAAGTTTTTTGCCGCCGTCGGAATCGAACCCACGTCTTCGGCATTCGCGGCCTGACGCTTTAGCCACTAAGCTAAACGGCTGATTGCCACACTGACGAAAATCTTAACATCCTTTATCGACATTGTTTTTAGCATTTGAAGCAATGCTTGGCGCATCCGTTGTTATCCTTTCCAGCAAACAAACAATTTCAAATATCGTAAATTGTAAAACAACGATAATTGGCAACGATAAGAGATGTCGCCATTGCTTTTTAGAAATTTAAATTTTTATGGCGCCAATCTCTGCACTTAAGATTCGCGGGTTCGATTTCCACAGCGGCGAAAAACGTTAAGTTCTTTCTACAAATTATAATGTTTAATCTTCAGCACATAGATTAGCACAATAAAAATTAAAATTAATATATAGCTGTTGGTTTCACTTGAAAAAAAATAATAATAATTCATCTATACCAAAAGCTGTGCACGCGATTGTTTACAGCATCCGACGTGGTCCAATTGAACATATTGATAAAGCCTATAGTCAGCATCGAAGGCGAGGAGAACTTGACGGTGTTAAGCGGCGAGGTGCAACAGCTCAAATGCGCAGTGCGTGCGAAGCCACCGCCAAGAATTGTCTGGCATAAAGAAACTGAGGCTTTCCTCAACTGCACTGTAAGTAGGAATAGTGGGAAGTTACAGTATATTCACTTGCCAAAACATTAATTAAGTTATCCCTAAACAATTGTTTATCCACAATTGTTTAAGAAAAACAAAATTAGCCCCAACTTTAATTTAACTTAATTTCGCAAAATTTGTTAAATTAAATTTGCTTTTCGTTACTGGCAAATATTTTTTGAAAAATTTTCGACAGTTTTATCTACACATTTTAAGTTTTATCTTAAGTGCAGGGTCTAGCGCTAAATTAAAAATTAAATTTCAATAACACAAGTTACATCACTAGTTTCCAAATAAATAAATAAAAAAAAAGACTTTTGTTAAAGTATGTTTACTGTAAAGGAAGCACATTAGATAACGACAAGCATTGCTAAAAATGCAATATGTATACGTATGTATATTATAAGTTGTAAGGGCATATTCACACCATCCGATTCCATCACATATATTGCATTTTTTAAAATATTTTTTACATATTCCTTCACCGATAACTTAGAATTTCACTGGTTCAATAGGATTTGAAATTAGATTGCTCGAGTACAATAAATTATAAGCGCGCATCCTAACACTACATGGGCCTGAACACTGGCCCATGTAGTATTCGGATGCAAATACAATCGTTACGACGTAGCACTGGAACTCTACAGGTGGATGAAGTAGAGCCGAGCGTCTACGAGAGCGTGCTGACTCTGAACAGCAGCGCTGAGCACGTGAACGGCACTTACTTCTGCTTCGGCGAGAACTCTGCGGGCATCGGCCAGGACAGCGTCACAATCGCCGAGCGGACGAGAATGGTGTTGGTGGAGAGCTTCACCGGTAATTTCGCCTACGGTCTCTTCTCTTCTATTTTTTCCCTTAACCCCATTCTCTTTCGATCCCTTTTTCTCTGCGGGCATCCGCCAGGATGGCGTCACAATTACCGAACGGATGAGAATGGTGTTAGTGGGGAGAGCTTTACCGATAATTTCTCCTACGGTCTCTTCTCTTCTATTTTTTTCCCTTAACCCCTTTCTCTTTCGATCCTTTTTTCTCTGCGGGCATCCGCCAGGATAGCGTCACAGTTAGCGAACGGATGAGAATGGTGGTGGTGGGGAGAGCTTTACCGGTAATTTCTCTTATGGACTTTATTTGTATTGTATATGTGTGCGTGGCTGCGTCCGCGCCCCGATATTGTTGACAAATTAAAGCCAGTGCGTTCACAGCTCTTGAGTGTTTCACTAGTCCCTGTGCTCCGTACTTCGAACATAACAATTTGTTCTTTTACGCCGCATATCTCAGCATTTTCTATCCTAAACGGTCCTCTCTGTCTACATCATAATACATACAATTAATTTATATTAACAATAGAGACTAATATAAATTATATTCAATTTAATGTGTTTAGAAGCAGTGCCGGAATAAATGTCTTATATATGTTATACTTCTTTACCGTAACAAAAGAAAAATAACTACACTTTGTTTGTGACAAAAAGACATAAAATGTCACAACGGCTTAATTAAATAACTTGGAATTTTAGGTGAATTACAAAAAAGTTCTTGGTTTTCATGGCAACAACAGGAACCCAGTGTGGCGCGCCGTAAAAATTCACCCTGGTCCTTTTCCCCAAAAGCTTTAAAAGAAGTTTAACTTCCAAAGGTATTTATTGTCAACAGACCAGCTGGTGCAGCTGCACTCTTCGGTAGAGCTGCGCTGTTCCGCGAAGTCTCTACCGGCCGCAGTTGCTAGCTTCTTTCATAACGGGACTCTTATGTCTTCTAACGCCACCCGCCCGCTGCCCGGCGGGGCCGCGCTACGCTTATCGCGCGTGCACTTCCGCCACCTCGGCCGCTACGAGTGCCTCCTCTACAACGACTACGAGAGCCTACGAGTCGAGGGTGCGCTACGTGTTACCGGTTTGGGTGAGCGTGCCATTGCATATTGTTATGATTCTGCTTTTCATCTGGTTACTTAGGTGATTTTTTCGAAATATATACCATTTAGTTAAATGGTGTTGCAGACGGTAGTATTCGCCTTATCATCGCATTACAGTACTACTGCGACGGCTACACAAGCTTGAATGAGTTTACTTAAGAACATTGAATCTTTTCCATAGAATAGTCTGGGACGGTATAATAATGTTACACGGAACTAAGTTCCCCAAATGTTTGCAGAAAGTCCGGTGCTTTCGAAAGAACCAGCGATTGTCACTACTCTAAGGGGCCACACGGCGACAATAACATGTAGGTGAGATTTTGTATCACATACATATATTAATTACAATCACATTATTTCTATACGCGGTCAGCGACGGCTCTTAAAATAATTACTATATAGATAAACATTTTTCCAAAAACCATTCTTACATTAGAGTGATAGGGAAGAAAATTGTATCTCAATACAACGTTAACATTCAAGTTAACTTATTGTTATAGTACTGGAGTTGTTTTCAACACGCTTATTACTTGTATGTATGAATGCTTGTACGAGTAGTAAGTTTAATAACTAGACGATAAGATAATAATATCCCACTTATACATCGACACTGCCCACACCATATTTACATTCCGTTCATCATATTTCAGAGTGTTAAAAGGTAATCCAGAACCGAATATCACTTGGGAGTATCGGAGCGAGGAATCGCAGGAATTCGGCGATGTTGAGATTGGGGTCCTAATGGGCGATAGGGGCCGAGAGGTCAAGGTGTCAAATGCTACCTCAAACCACGCTGGCCGCTATCGTTGCGCCGCCGAAAATGACGTGGGCAGAGACACGTACGAGACTTCTTTGGTTGTGCAATGTAAGGGGCTTCTTTGCGGCTCATTTATATTTAGGACACATTTATACACAACGTTCTCTAGTCCCAAACTAAGCAACGCTTGTACTATTGGTACTGTAGATAACTGATATGCATACTTATACGTTTCTTCTGTAAATAAATACATATTATAGATATATAAACACCCAGACGCTAGAAAAACACTATGTTCTACTATGGGGATCGAAACCACACCCTCTGGCGCTGGAGCCAGGTACACTACCCACTACGCCATTCGGGTCGCAGGCCATATAAGATTTAAATTTGGTTAACTTGAAATTACCGTCATCAATGAAATTGTTGATTGCAATTTTCGGTGCTAATTTATTACCCGCTCAAGAAAGAAGCGAAAAATCCAAAAACAGGTTTTGAAGGTATGTGAAGTCCGTAGTCCCAATCTGCAGTGGGTCGCGTGGTGGACTATGACCCTTTTACTCTCTGAACGGAGGAGGCCTTTGCCCAGCGTTGGAACATATATAGACTGTTACTTTCCGTTTTTTTCCTTTTCCAGGCTTTAGTACTTAGACTATTCGACTTTTTGTGTTCGTAATTGCTTGGTTTCTCCAAGAAAAGGACAAAAAATATTAAAAATGTTTGGTTCATTCTTCTATTGTATAATTATTATATTTCCCTCTCATTGGAATCTGGCATTTATTATTTCCCTTTAGATCCACCGGACCTCAAGTTGTCAACCGTATTAAACGGGACAAATCAGCTAGAAGCGGAGGTGGGAAAGAGAATAGTATTTAGCTGCGAAGCCACAGGCAATCCACCGCCGATCGTGGTCTGGACTAAGGAATCTGGACCGGTCCACTTTTCAGACAACACGTGAGTTATATTTCCTTTAGTACTTATTTCCGTGTAGCCTTAATGTATTGCGGATTCTTTTTAGTGTTTTTTTTTTAGTATACACTAATCACTACATAGTATAAAACAAAGTCGCCCCGCTGTGTCCGTCCCTATGTACGCTTAGATCTTTAAAACTACGCAACGGATCTTGATGCGGTTTTTTTTACTAGATAGAGTGATTCAAGAGGAAGGTTTATATGAATCATAATTGCACCAGTGCGAAGCTGGGCCGGGTCGCTAGTAATACATATTTTAGTACATATTAATTTAATTTTATTTAATACATACTGTCGAAAATTTCGCTGACAGGATTCAAACCTGCATCTTTGGATAACAAATGCTCAGATCAGTAATCTCGACATCTGATTTTTAGGGTTCCGTACCCAAAGGGTAAAACGGGACCCTAAGTACTGATACTCCGCTATCTGTCTGTCTGCCTGTCTGTATGTCTGTCTGTCTGTCTATCCGTCTGTGACCACTTTGTGAGCCGTGATAGTTAGACAGTTGAAATTTCACAGATGATCTGTTGCCGCTATAACAACAAATACTAAAAAACAAAATATTTAAGTGGGGCTTCCATACAACAGTCGGCATTTTTTGCCGTTTTTTTTTGATAATGGTACGGAACCCTTCGTGCGCGAGTCCAACTCGCACTTGTTGTAACTACCAGTTTAATTTTTTAGAGGCGTTAGTCTTCCGCCTCGGTTCGTTCTTGACCATGAATGTTACAAAGCATGTCGCAAATGTATTGATTGGAAGAGGGTATCACTTAACATCAGGTGAGCCGCCTCACCTCATTTATTTTATTTTATTTTCTTAAGTTAATTAACTCACAGTAAAATTTTCAGATACCTCACCGACACTGACGTCCTTGTGATTGAGAATGCGACCATTTACGATTCCGGACTATACAACTGCAACGCAACCAGCCCCCTTGGGTCTGTCGGCAGAAATTACTCGCTGCAAGTGTTCAGTACGTATATTTTATCTCTTATCTCTATATGTTTATATCACTTATCTTTCATAACCAGAGGGAATATTGAATCATATGATCTTCTCTCATAGATAAACAGCCTAAAAGCATAGAAATATGGAAAATATGTGTATATTTAAGTAGTTTATTTTTATATAATTTTGTATTTAATGTATTTGTTACTATTTTGGTCAATTATTTTACAATTTAATTTTGGTTAGTTTTATAATTGCACCTGCCTAAAGATCTCACCGCACCATAGGTTGACTGGCAGAGAATGCCTAGAGGCATTAAGGCCGCCTATTGTTTTCCGTATTAAAGGAAATGCAATAAAGACTAAATAAATAAATAAATAAATAAATATTTGCTTATGCAAATTATTAAGATATTAGGGCATAGTCAACTACGCGACCACACTGCGGATTGGCGGATATCACATATTTTCCATATATACCTTTATATATTTGTTATTTTTTCGAAAAAAAAAATCGGTTTCCTCACGATGTTTTCCTTCACCCCTGAGTACGTAAGTCAGCAATTAGAATGAATTATAAGCGAGCGCCCGGATATAGCTGTCGCGGCCTACAGAGTAAGGGCAAATTATTAAGGATTAAATTTAAAAAATTATGTGTGTTCGTGTCGGCAGTGAGGCCGGTTATTCCGTCAATGGGGAGCACGGAGGTGGAAGTCCTGGAGGGGCAGTTGGTGGAACTGTCCTGTCCAGCTCAGGGTGTGCCCACTCCGCGCGTCAGCTGGTCGCACAATGGCCAGGCGCCCAAGCCCACTGCCCACGCCCACGGCCACACCCTCAGGTGGGTCCCACCGCTGGGCGCAACCTACGCCCGAACTGTTCTGCTCGATATTAGCATCTAGCCGTGAGAACGGTGTAAAGAAAGATGCACAATTTAAAACAATTCGAAACAATTGAATCGATTGATCATTTAAAAAGGTTTAATCAAATATTAATTAAAAACAACTGAATCAATTTAAAATAGTCGCAAAGAAATCCAAAAAATACTGTCATTCGAAAATATATTTACGGTGGTAGGGCCACGCAGCAGCCTCGGCTGTTGCACGAATGGGCGGGCTCGTCCGGGTAAGTACCACGACCTCACAGTAGACCGGCGTAAAGTGGAAGTATAATACTTTCGCGTTTCCTTTGGTGAGTGAGATAGCCGGAGCCCAATTTTCAAAAGGTTGTCAACGCATCTGCAACCCTCAGGTGTAGCAGATGTCCATGGGTAGCGGTATTCACTTAACATCAAGTGCTGCTCGCTTGGCAACCTTTCACATAAAAAAATATATATACAGCGTGTCGTTACCATTGCGACAATAAATGAACACACGTCTAACGCTACTTGCCAATAATCATAAAAAAATATGAACGTTAAACAAAATCCATAATTTAAAAAAACTTTTTTCAAACAAACTAATTAAGTAAAAAAGAAACAAAATTTGTAACATTCTATACAACTTGCGCCACAGCGTCGCATTACAAGCCTCTCCTTCTAACAGTATGTTTTGTCTCTTTTAAATTCATTCAACCCATTCATATGCTTTGTGACCTTTACAAATGAACTTTACGTTACAATTTTATACGTAAGGGTGTTCTAAAATTCTTTGTTTTGGAAAATTTAATAACTCTGTAAATATTGATGTTTAAAGAATGTAAATGTTTAATACAATTTTAACATGTTATCCCCTATATGTGTTTTCATTTATTGTTGCGATTGTAAAGACACGCTGTATTGTTTAACTTAGTCGAGTTAAAAGCGTAGTGCTGAGTTCTCAAAACAATATAAATTTATTTTGTTTATGACTGAGTTGCTTATTATATATAAAATCTACTTTATCTAGCACGGCGTGAAAACACATCACTGCACATGTAGTGCATAAAAAATTCTTTGTTTCTGAAAACTTTAACACATTTACATTAAATGATAGCATCATATTTTTGTATAAGTGTCTAAGAAATTAAAATTAAAAGAATTAATTTTTTCGTGATGCGCGCACAACAGAGACCTTTAACATTTTATTTATATACGAAGATAATTAGCCTACTCCATCAATTATTATTGTTTGTTGTATAAATAGTAAATATTTGTTATTTCGGTATCGACTGTGTATGCGTATAAATGAACTTTATACTAGATCTTGTAAAAGTGGTCGCTTTCTTCAGGTTCGTTGCGAACTTGACTGATTTCGGGGAATACTCTTGCAACGTCACCAACGGCTATGGGAGTGCTGTTTTAAACTACACTGTCTACGTTTGGGGTAAGCGTTTTTTGAGAATTACATTGTTGCGCAGTTTAAAAGATCTAAGTGTACAAATATCGGGAGCTACTTTGTTTCATAATATGTAAAGAAGATTTACAATTTAAAGTTTCAACTTGATGTTCACTGGTACTAACAAATACGATATTATTTTGTGTGATTGCGCAGAACAATGCATATTGTTCTATTATCACTTTTATGTATGCTCTCATTTGTGGTGGACAATAAAAGTGAATTTATTCATTCATTCATTCATATTTATGCGATAGCAGCAATTGCGGTTTATTAACAGTCATTACTGGAAGAGTTATGTTGTCTATCTCCGATCATCTCGTCATCAGATCTATATGAAATGTATATGGGACCATTTCGGAATGGAACCTTTTCGAACAAAAAAAGAATTTTGCAAATCCGTCTGTATATGACGTAGTTATGCTCTAACATAAATAAAAAAAGATATACAGCGTGTCGTTACCATCGCGACAATAAATGAACACACGTCTAACGCTACTTACCAATAATCAAAAGCAAATATTAACGTTAAACAAAATCCATAATTAAAAAAAAATTCAAACAAACTAATTAAGTAAAAAAGAAACAAAATTTGTAACATCCTATACAACTCGCGCCACAGCGTCGCATTTCAAGCCTCTCCTTCTAACAGTATGTTTTGTCTCTTTTAAATTCATTCTACCCATTCATATGCTTTCTGACCTTTACAAATGAACTTTACGTTACAGTTTTATAAGTAAGGGTGTTCTAAAATTCCTTGTTTTGGAAAATTTTATAACTCGGTAAATATTGATGTTTAAAGAATGTCAATGTTTAATACAATTTTTAAAAGTTATCCTCTATATGTGTGTTCATTTATTGTCGCGATGGTAACGACACGCTGTATAAACATACCAATTGACAACCTTTCCTTCTTTTTGTCTTAAAGTCTTCTTAGTGTCTTAAAAATGATAGTTAATCCTTAAATACGCGTTATTTGTTTGTCTCTTTTTTAAAGTCTTTTTGGTGGTAGGGCCACGAATGCACGAATGGGCAGGTCTGTCCGAGTAAGTACCACGACCTCACAGAAGACCGGCGGTGAAATGGAAGTGTTACACTTCTGCGTTTCGTCAATTGAGTGAGGTAGCCGGGGCCCAATTTATTATAAGATGGCAACGCATCTCTGCGAGTGTTGCAAATGTTCATGGGTGGCGGTTGTCACTTAACTTTGATCAGGTGAACCGCCGTGCTGGCTTGCCACCTTTTCGCATAAATTTAAAAAAAAGAATCTACCGACTCAGCCAGGGCCGGATTTAGGGGCGGGCAACCGGGGCAACAGCCCCGGGGCCTCCACAATAGAGGCTTCGGAAGAAAAAATTCAAATTTAGTTTAGTAAACAATGGTAAACAACTTTTCCTTTCATATATTTTTCGCGTTTTACTTTTACCTGCAGTACTTTGTACAAACATGATCACATTAAATATTGACAGAAACCAATAGAAAATAATTTGGGCCTCCACTCCTTTGAGGCCTCCAGACCTCTAAATCTGGCCCTGGACTCCGCCTTATCATTCCGGCGATCCCCAGTGGCGCCTTACCTCCGGCCGCCATTGCTCGAGTCGAAGAGCGTCCGCGAAGGCGCCGACGTCTCTCTGCGCTGCGACGCGGTCGGCTTCCCTCTACCCACTATCTCTTGGCGGTTCGACAACCAGCCGCTGGTGGAGAACGCAACGCGCCTGAGGTACCCCCTTTTATAGGGTTCTATATTCGGTCTCTTCTTAAAAGGTAAAAAAAAGAATTCCTTATAAGATCGCTCTCTTTTCCGTGTGCCGCCAACGTATTTCTCAGGATGGCGAGGAACTAGCAAGTTAAATTTATACCATTTATTGAGGTCTTTAGTCCCTATTAGATTTATAAGATCAAGGTCCTGCGTCAATACGATGAAAAGATATGGGCAGAACCGCCATCTCGATTACTACTTTCTCCCAATACCGAGAGAAAAATCCGAAGACGGAAAATCGGTCGTGAATATTTGCCAATTTTATTATGGCGGTGAAAGGGTATGTACGGAACCCTCGGCGTACGAGTTCGACTCGCACTTGACCTGTTTTATTTTGTTGGGTTCGTGGGCTAAGTGCTCACGTAAGCCCTTGCTGGGGCGAGGACGGGTTATGAATCGCACCGACCAAAACCCCCACCATGTTCCAGGTAAGACACGTTGCAACGTTAACGTATACGAAAATATAACGAAGAAAGTATGCTCGTCTTTATTATCATATATTAACGTGTTGCTGCCAAATCCCGTTTATAATTGCATTTTAAACATCAGATAATTTGGAAAACTGTTTGCATTGCAGCTTCAACGACGTGGGCAATCTGTACATAAGCAACGCGAGCTCTCAATATGAGGGACAGTACGAATGCATTGCCGAGAATCTGGCCGGAATTGCCGGCAAAGTTATAATGCTACAAGTACACGGTAAGGACACACTAGTATAGTACTTATATAGTACACCAGCCACTCTTGACTACGTAGCCAACCGTTGTTATAACAGCAGCAGATGGAGAGTCAAAAATTTGTTTTGTTTTCTTAAAATAATTATCGAAGACACATCTCTTAATGAAACATTATAAAAAAATACATTCTTTGCCTATAAACACCTATTAGATGTAAATAGAACTATTATTATTATTATTGTAATGTTGATCGAGCCGATGTTTGTACAGAACCACCAACAATACTTCAGGACAATTATACGGGACCCTACGTGGCGACGGATCTGGACACAGCGCTCGCAATCGCCTGCCAGGCGTCAGGCAAACCTAGACCTTATGTCGTGTGGTCCAAGGACGACTTTTATCTTGACAAAGGTAAGGTTACAGCAGTCTAATGTTTACCTTATTGAAACAAGGGAGGAGTCAAATCTATTGGAACATATCGTTAGAGATGTCTTAGTTATTAATGTAATTTAATTATTATAAAGAAACATTTGGATGGAGGTTTTATTATACGTCGTAATGTTAAACAACGAAACACTCCTTCTGTTATACGAATGCGTGGTAATAAAATCTCACATAAAGCTGGCCTAAAAGTGGTATCGTTTCTTCCTACAACCTACGCGTCAGTTGAAATATCAATTAATGTAACCGCCAAAAGGCGATTTTACAGGAGAGGCAAAAAACTAAATTACGATTCACAAAAATAGTTGTAACTTTTTACATACTTATCCTATCGCAACGCTGTTTGGAGCATTTTTTTCAAAATTCTCACATCTGATCTCTGAAAGAAACCATAAGAAGCCTACTATTATAATTTAGAAGATGGCACGGTGGTTAATTTTATTTTTTAAATATCGCGTTACGTTAAGATTTTTTGTAATAAATAATAACAGCTATAATGTAACTCACAGAGTTTTCAAGACGTCGACATAAGTTGTGATGTATTGGCTGAAGACGTTACGTAATTAATCTCTTAAAATATGGGCAAGGTTAGAATAAATGCTATATTTTTATTAATTTAAGTTAAAAATTCTTTTTGATTTTCATTATAAATTTTACATCCGTCTCATTTAAATAGGTTTTCTTAATTATCCTTGTTCTAACTCCCCCTTTTTCCATCGTATTCTCCCCAGGTGAAGTAACAGAATCCATTTTGAGTTTTGGGTTCATAACAGAGTCAAATTATAAACTGCACACTTTCTTGAGTATTAAAGCAGCATACTCTAGCCATGTGGGGGTATTAAGGACTTTCTGGAGATCAAAATTAGCTATCACAGTGGAGTTGTCCTTATCTACCAGATATATACCATGCTATAAACGAAGTGAAATATATTCTGATGTATTTCACTTCGTTTATAACATGGTTTTTAGATGATTTTTGTAATCATGGGTCTCCTTTTCATTCATACCTGCATAGGAAAATTACGGAAAAGACGTTCACTCAGATAGTCATGTGAATTGTCTTCGTAATATTATACGTAAAGACGGCAGAGTTTAGTCACACTTAAAATATTGAGATAAATATGATAGTACTGGCAAATCTTCTATGTATTTTGTAGCAAAATTGTTGATATTTTCATTGTATTTATTGTCAGCATGATGAGTTCGCTATTACATTTTTACAAGATTGACTCTTACATTGCCGACTTTGTTTCACATTGGGCCAAATTCATCGTTACATTAACCCATACTTTGATCATTCTCATAAAATGTATTATACATCACAAAAATGTATGAAAATTATTAAAAACAGTCTGATTTTTTTAAAAGTAATCGCCATTATTTTCATCATATCGAGATTTTAAAGATATTGGTATCTTATCGATGGAGCGAAAAATTTGCAGACGAACTGTATATTTAACTCAATTTCGTCATTTTGGCGGTTACATTAATTGATATTACAACTGACGCCTACCTTTCTTCTGATGAGGTAAATGGGTCGCTTTTTAAAGGTTGGCAACGCACTACTGTGGTATAGGGCTACGCAGCAGTCTTTGCTGACTGACTGACTGAATGACTCCGTGGCGCAGTTGCCAAGGTCGGGGGTCGTGGGTTCGATTCCCACACGGGACAACAATTTGTGTGACCCACAGATAGTTGTTTACTAGGATACTATTACACAGGATAATATTATCCTTAAGTAAAGGCACTGTTAAAAAAAACTCCTCTGGGGAAGTACCAAGACCACGCAGAAGACGTCCCTAGACCCTTGCTACGAAGTGGGCGCGGTAGCTAAAATAGGGGTTTTATCCACGCAAACGTCCGTTGACCCTCGATATAAAGTGGGTGTGGTAGCTCAAAAAGAGATTTATTCCACGTAAAAGTCAGTATAGATCATCGGAACTATAAAGGAGGTGCGGTAGCTAAAAAATGGGTTCAATCCACGAAAATATCCGTAGGCTCTCGCCACGAAGTGGGCGTGGCGACTACAAAAGAAATTTGATCCATGCAAATGTCCGTAGACCCTAGGTACGAAGTTAGCGCGGTAGCTAAAAAAGGGCTGTAATCCCTTTTTGAACTACAAAAGGAATTTCATCCATGCAAATGTCCGTAGACCCTAGGTATGAAGAGAGCACGGTAGCTACAAAAGGGATTAAATCGACGAAACTGTTTGTAGACCCCGCTACGAAGAGGGCGCGGCGGCTACAAAAGGCAATTAATCCACGCAAATGTTCGTAGACCTCCGCTACGAACGGGGCGCGGCAGCTACAAAAGGCAATTAATCCATGCAAATGTTCGTAGACCCCCGCTACGAAGTGGGCGCGGACGGTACCCTGACCATCAGGGCGCCGTCTGAGGAGTTGAGCGGCGAGTACACCTGCCTCGCCACCAACGCGGCTGGCAACGCGACCCGCACCGTCCCGGTGAGAATATACTGTGAGTGTTCCCTTCACCGTTTGGATAAATCCGTGTCGCAGTTGCCATGGTGCTTCGTTGCCGGTGGTCTTGGGTTCGATTTCCAAGAAAATATTTGTGTAGTCGCACACAGGTAACTGTCTCGGATCTGGCTGTCAGTCCACGTGAAATTTAAATAAAGTGCTCATCAGGCTGTGGTATTCACTTAACTTCAGTTTAACTGGCTGCTCACTTGCCAACTTTTCACAGATAAAAAAATCATGTGCATTTGTAATGCATGAAAAATCAATGTTTTATGTTTTTTCGTATGCCACGCGGTACAGCCGATTGCGATAAACCTTAGCGCAACTGCAAGCACTCACTCACATACAATTTTGCTATCGTAGATGTTAAATAGGAGTTACATATTATTTTTGTTTCATGCAACTTTTTAAAGCTCGAGACGTTTGGTTATTGATGGATATTGAAAGATAAAGAAATTGATTATGTATTTTCTCAGCAAATAAATATATAAATTATGAAATGGGTAATTGAAACGGTATTAATATCATCCCTATAATTCTCTCACTTCTTTTTATTGCCAAACGTGATGGGTATTTAGTATTTAAGTTTTTAGTGGGACCTATCAGGGTGTGTGGGATGAGTTCGCAGTCCGTCCTCAACAAATTTCAAGAAAGTTTTAATAATTTAATATACCACGGCTTTTCAATATTCTTAGTAACAATGGTGATTGCCTATTATGATCAAACCATTGGCCATATTATTAACGTAACCGTCAAGTGGCATCCTTATTTCAGCCGTTCCGACTTTGGTGCAGTCCGAGGAGTCCCAGACTGTGGTGACCCTCGTGGAAGGGGCGGACGCGATGGTCGATTGTCCAGTGCGAGTCGCACCCGACGACACGATCAAATGGTACAAGGTTCGATAGTTCGCTTTTTTACTTAAGATTAGCTTGCATCTAGGTAAGATATTTCTTAATTTATATCATGGAGTAGAAATTTATATCCTTTATATTTCAATTAACTTGTTATAAACTTGTTTCGCAAACAGATTTCTACGAGCTTTTCAAGTATTTTTCTTAGAGACCTTTTGTACTTTCAACGGACTTTAAAAAAAGAGGATGTTCCTAATTAATCAATTCTAAACCAATTTTTTAAAAAAATCATTCAGCGTTTGGTTCGGTTTAGATTCCAATTAATTTCGTTGGTATGAGATACATCAGGGAATTCCTATAAATCATATAGATATGTCGGTTTCATTTTTTATTAATTAACATGTTATGTTCGTTTTCAAGTAAAAATTCTGTGGGGTGGTGTGACATGGTGTCATGTGTTCACGGTTTTTAGTTTACCGTTTAGCGATTCAGAGCTAATAAGTATAAAACTCTTCCAGTGTAATATATTTATCTTTAATAACTTATAATAAGGCTATGTCGTCGAAGGCATCCAGCTTTTTCTGATGTAAACAGCTGATGTTAAGTGACCACCATGGACATCTACAACACCAGAGGAAATCTCACTCACCAGACGCAATGCGAATTTATAATAATTCAACTTCACGCCGGTCTTCTGTGAGGCCGTGGTATTCCTGGACGAGCCTGCCCATTCGTGCAACAGCCGAAGCTGCTGCGTGGCTCTACTACACCAAAAGGGCACACTTAACTACCACAGCCTGGCCCTCCTAACGAAACCACCACACCCATCCAACAAAACCGCGATTTGCATTTTACAAATTTCCCAGAACGCGGCGCTGGTTTCCGAAGGTAAGTTAGAACTGAAGCCAGCGCGGAGGGAGGACTCTGCGACGTATGCGTGCGTCGGAAGGAACATGGCGGGAGCGAGGCATGCGTCTGTCACCATTCAAGTACACTGGCCGCCGACTCTACTACACACATCTAACAGCGATGAAGAAACTCCAACCGCCTCTTCTAATCCTTCACTAGCCATTTCCTATGAAGCCTCGACTAGACCGCCACTAGCCATTACCTCCTCTACCTCTTCTCTAACTACATCATCGCCCGTCCCACCCGCTCTTTCCGAGTTAGACGATCAATTTTTACCCAGTCTCCATGAATCAGACAAGCAATCCTTACCCAATCTCCACGAGTTAGACAAGCAATCCTTACCCGCTCTCCAAACCGAACCTTCCAATTCTGACCTAGTGGCACATCCTGCCTCAGTTCCTGATCCTGTCCACGTCCCAATAGCTCCATCTATCTTTGGTAGCTCGGAAACCGTCCAACCTACAAACACCCGCATCCGCCTACTGCGTGGCGACGACCTGCGTTTAGACTGCTCTGTCGACGCGAAACCGCGCGCCCAGGTTTGTCCGCAATTAAATATCTAATTTATTTCTTTCTGAGAGAAAGTAGCTAGCTGGCGGTTCACCTGATCTTTAATTATAATCGCTATCGATAGACATCTCGACAAATCCCGTAGGGTTGCAGATGCGTTGCCACCTTCTTATCAAGTAGACCTTATTAGCCAGTCGAAACTCGCTGAAAAGTTGTACTTTTAATACGTTCGAATCATTTTTGGCTTTTATACCTGTAGTTTTTAATGAGTCTTTGCTTTCATGTATTTGGTAGCAATAGATTTCAATAGCTTCTATTTGTCAATTCGCAAATCCAGATATTGATTTAAATTGTATTTTCGCGGCTTATATGGATAGTGTTAGATTTGTTTTAGTAAATAGTTTAACTTTAATGCATGTGACCGTCTTTAGCTTCAATACGTGTACGTTATACACAAATAGAACTGCCTCTGGTTTTCAGACCAAATGGTATTTCAATTCGAAATTGCTCCTCGGTGAGGACAGGGGCGTCTTGAAACTGCTTAACGTTCAGCTCCGTGACACCGGCGTGTACAAATGCGTCGCAGCGAACCGGTACGGCGCCGTTTTCAAGGAGTTCGTCGTCGACGTTCTCGGTATTGTTAAAACATATAATCCAACTCGTCTACACCTCTCTTAGCTCTGTCACAAAGTCTCTTAGTTGCATCATCAGCTTTTTGTTTGTCACTGTACAAAAAAATTTTGCTTCCAATCTCACTGAAATTGCATCGGTATTTACGAGCTCACTATTATCTATTATATGGGTGAACGTTTATCCTCTGGGCACTGAATCCAATTTAAAACGTAAAATATTTCCTTTCCCTCGGAGCTTATAGTTAGACTTCGAATTTAGGCAGATAAATTTGTTACAATATTATTTTTTTTTATGTGAAAAGTTTACACGCTGTTCATCTGATGAAGCGATCACCGTTATGTGGACATTTAATACACTTGAAGGATTGCAGATGGATTGACATTTCAAAAGTGGGCCCCCGTCACTTCGCTTACCAGGCGAAATGCGAAAGTATAATACTGCCATATCACGCTGGTTTTTTGTACCGCCGTGGTATTTCAACAAAATCCGCTGCGTCCCCACAATGATACTAAAATGTTATTACATAGTCACACAACCCATAAAAACTCCATCTGGGGCATCATCGGGTCAATCTGTCGCTGCAGATGCAATCCGAAAACTGAAAAAGTCAATTTCAGGGAAATTTGAATCTGCGTCCATATTTAGATAACTATTAATCTATAAAAATAGTTTTAAATTTAACCACTGTTCGCTTAACAATTTTTCTGTCACTTGGAATTTTCGGTGAGATAGTTAAAACATGTAGAAAAAGTACGAAGTAAGATTGTCGCCGCTGTGGGTATCGAACCCACGTCTTCGGCATTCGCGGCCTGACGCTCTAGCCACTGAGCTAAACGGCTAGATAGTTGTCAAAAGTATAAAATTTCAGGCCTCATATTTGAAATTACCTATTTTAGTTCCGCCGTTCATTTCTGAATTCGACTTGCTCGACGTGCAACTAAAGGAGGGCACGAATGCAAGCCTCGAGTGCAACGCCCAAGGGTACCCAAAGCCGGACATAAAATGGACCTACAAGTGAGTATGCTATATCCTAGATCCCTCCGTCAGCTTCATCAACGATTTCTTGAATTCACACCAACACAACACATATAGTTAAGCTGCTTTGCGGAGTTTACCACGTTTTTACCATACGACCATAATACATGTAAACAGTCAAAATTGGTAGTGTCATTCGAAATAAATCAAGAAGTTATTGCAAGCCTTAATGTTGGTTCTTAAAAAAGACTTTGATATTAAGAATTAAAACAACATAGTCTGTCACCAGATCATGGATTATGTAAAGCTTAGTCAAGTGCAAAATTCCAAATTTTTACACATAAACACACGTTCATAATTTAAAAATAAAGTTCTTTATTTTCATTTTGTTTATGTCTGAAGATGACAAACAAGTTGGCCGTTCATCTAATGCTAAGCGATAACCGCTGACCTTTTGCAACACCCGTAGGGTTACAGATGCGTTGCCACCTTTTAATAAAGTAGGCCCCGGCTACCTACCTCACCAGAAAAACTAGAAGAAACGCAGAAGTAAGTTCCACTTCACGCCGGTGTTCTCTATGGTCACGGACCTACCCATTAGTGAAACAGCAATTGCGTGGCCCTACCACGGTAAATCCTCATCTCTGCCCAGCAACACGTCGTGGCGCGCACACAAATCGACAATCGTTAGCGTGAACGTTGGAGTCGAGTCTGAGGGCGTGTTCCGCTGCGACGCCACTAACCCAGCGGGGGTCGCCCATCTAGTGTACAGGGTCAACGTAGTCGGGGGTGCCAACATCGAGAGCGTAACGGCCTTCAACGGCAGCGTTGGCACCACTGTCACCGAGCGTTTGGAGATCGCGGTAAGTGACGTCATCCGCAAGGCGTTAGCTTGTAACAGCCTTTAACGGCAGCGTTGGCACCACTGTCACCGAGCGTTTGGCACAGATCGCGGTAAGTGACGTCATCCGCAAGGCGTTAGCTTGTAACAGCCTTTAACGGCAGCGTTGGCACCACTGTCACTTAGCGTTTGGAGATCGCGGTAAGTGACGTCATCCGCAAGGCGTTAGCTTGTAACAGCCTTTAACGGCAGCGTTGGCACCACTGTCACCGAGCGTTTGGAGATCGCGGTAAGTGACGTCATCCGCAAGGCGTTAGCTTGTAACAGCCTTTAACGGCAGCGTTGGCACCACTGTCACTTAGCGTTTGGAGATCGCGGTAAGTGACGTCATCCGCAAGGCGTTAGCTTGTAACAGCCTTTAACGGCAGCGTTGGCACCACTGTCACCGAGCATTTCTAGATCGCGGTGAGTGACGTCACCCGTAACGGGTTAGCTTGTAAAAGACTTTAAGGGCAGCGTTGGCCTGCCCTGTAGTCCCGGGCTCATACAATAGGACTTAGGTATCTCCTGCCTGTCGCAAAAGGCGGCTAAGAGGGGACACGGATTGGCGAAGGGGGCTCGAAGTGGCCTCGAGCTGCTGCAAGATGGCGAGGGAATCGGGAAAGGTTTTACTCACGCCCAGTACCGAGGGACACCGGTGCGTTCCGTAGGAGATCTCGGGGTCCCTCCAAACGTGAAGAACGTGGTCACTGATACCCTGTCACCGAGCGGTTGGCAATCGCGGTGAGTGACGTCATCCGAAAAGCAACTTCACACAACCTTGTTTCAACCGATAATTTTTCGTTGTATAAAGCAATATCGCTTTCATTTCATTGTTCTTTACACGTAGTCATTTATTGTATGTAGATAGATACCAAGAGCATAACGGCCTAACGGTGGTATTTGCACCACCGTCATAGATTATTTGGAGATCACGGCGGGGGACGTCACATGCAACGGATTAACATACATCGTTGTATGGACCAGTCATTTTTCGTTGGGTCAAGCAATCTCGCTTCCAGTTATTGTTTAGTTGTAGTAATTTATTCTATGCGGATCCGGCAGCGCCGAAAGTGTTTGTCCCATTCGTCAACGAAATTTCACATTTTAAAGTACACTTTTAGTGCAGACACTAGTGCTAAAAATGAAATTGATATAAATTTTAAGAGCAATCATGATATTTCTTGTTACAAATATTCATCGTTAAATTGTAAGGTGTTTGATACTGTGAAGAATGCACGCTGGAAAATGCAATATCGTAAGGGTACACTTAGGCCACGTTTTCTACGACTGAAATGACAACGTATTTTGTTATAACGAATTATGAGGAATAAACAAATTTTCTTCAGGTTGGATCAAGAGTTCGTATCGCTTGTAAAGCCTCAGGTAGACCATTTCCAAACATACAATGGTTTAGACATGGCAAAGTCGTTAGCAATAACGTTGCAAACATAAGCTACGCTGATCTGATCATAAACGAAGCAGAGGCATCCGACGCCGGGCAGTACTCATGTGTTGCCTCTAACGAAGGTGGAATGGATGAGATAAAGATAAAAATAGATATAATAGGTGAATAATTTACTGTCATTCTTTACCAATAGGAAATTTTCAATTCTTAATATGATCGGTGGTGGATTTGACCATTTGTTTAGTTTTGATTCTTCTGATGTTGTTTGCTTGTTTTAATTTAATTTATAACGATACGGATGGTAAAAAACTCTCTTTTATATACTAAGATCATGCTTTCTGTATTAACTTATGGTTTTTTTCAAGTCCAAACTATCCATCTCGTATCACGTTTAAATTAAATTATAATTTTTCTATACGATTTCCAGAACCACCTAGAATATTCCGTACGCTTTTTGAAGATGACGAAACCTTTACTTATGGAAATATTATAAACTTGGAGGTTATGTCCGGACAAGCGTTTTATATGCACTGTCATCCGTATGGTAATCCGATGCCAGAGGTATACTGGTTCAAAGACGACGTTCCGTTGAAATTGTTCGACGGAACTATGGTATCGACAGATTATGGTGAGATCATACAATCTCCCTCTGCTAAGTACGAACAGTCGGGAAACTACACTTGTATAGCGAGAAATAAAGTCGGCGAGACTGGGATCGCGTATTTAGTCGATGTTTTAGGTGAGCCTTGTATCTGTTTGTCTTTGATTCGACTTTTCAATAATAAATTAGAAACTTCATAAATTCATTACAGTATCACTTGATGAAAGCGTTGTTTTTCCCATAGACATTTATCTATACTATAAACCTTATAGACCTTATTTAAACCGAAACTGAGTGTGAAAATTGACCTTCCTTGGTCTATTAGCTACTGCGGATATACACTGTATACAGAATTTTATAAAGTTAAAATGGATCAAAATAAGGAAAAATCATCAAGTACTGTCCTGACAATTAATTCTAAATTGAATTAACAACATTCATTTATTAAGTTATTACAACATCACAAAAGAATTAATTAAAAGTATCGACCGGACTAAGTCATCGGTACAGTTATCTGTTAAATCTTGTGCAAATTGTAAATTTGATGAGAACACACTTTACTTTTCTTAGAAAGTCACAATGTTAAGAATTAAAAGTTAAAATATGTAGAAAAACTACGAAAAGATTGTCGCCGCTGTGGGAATCGAACCCACGTCTTCGGCATTCGCGGCCTGACGCTTTAACCACTAAGCTAGACGGCTGATTGCCACACGGACGAAAATCTTAACGTTTTTATGTACATTTTTTGTTAACATTTGGAGCAATGCTTGGCGCCTCCATTGTTATATCCTTTCCAGCATACAAAAAAATTCGAATATCGTTTTACAACGTTAGAAATAAAAAGTTTTATTTCATCATACAGGACCCCCAACGCAGCCAAAGGAAAGCGCGAAGGAAGTGAGCACAAGGATTGGTAAACAATTAACGCTAACGTGTCCAGTACAAGGCAGTCCGACGCCTTATGTGATGTGGATAAAGCATCCATACAACGAAATTAGCGAATACACCCCAAGGGTACATTTGTCTGAAGATAACGTAACTTTAGTAAGTATGACGATTCGTAATTAACTTTAGTTCTTTGTCTCTGAACTTAATATGAAACTTAAAACGCAGGTAAATGAAGTAAAAATGTAAATTAAATATGTTAGGTCACATTTTTACGCAACGTTCTGTAGTTTCAAAGTAAGCAACGCTTGTACTATTGGTACTACATAACTGATAAACATGCTTATACGTTTCTTCTGTAAATAGGCACATGTTATAAATATATAAACATAGGTTTTTATGTTCATCACACAATATTTTTCCAGTAGTGGGGATCGAACCCACACCCTTTGGTGCAAGAGGCAGGCTCACTACCCACTACGCCAATCGGGTCGTCGTATCGTAATCGTCGAAAAACTTTTCGAGAATCGAACTTGCGCCTTGCGGGTGATGAAAAACTTTTCGACAATCTACATCACAACAAATTCGTTTTCCTTACGGACATTTCATACAGCTTACTTTTGTACAAAACGAAAATTACATTAATATGATTTTTGTTAATTTTGCTTAGACAATAGACGCGACGGTTATAGAGGATAGCGGTATATACTCTTGCGTGATGACGAACAAAGTCGGCACCTCGGAGGTAACGTTCAACGTAGTTATCGAAAAGCCACCATCCATTGTCGGCAATGTTGAGAACAACACACCGGAGGAACACGTGGTCGCGTTGAAAAGGAGCCTTGTACTGAAATGCGATGTCGACGGCCACCCCCCGCCTAAGATAAAGTGGTTAAAAGTACGTGTACAAATTGAACAGTTTGACCGTTTTTTATGTGAGACATTGCCAGCGAACGGGCCGTTCACCTGTTGTTAAGTGAATAACGCCACCCGTGGACATCTGCTACACCCGACGGTTACAAAAGCATTTACGACATTTTAAAAAGTGGGCATCCGATACCTTACTCACTAGACGAACCTGCTCACTCGTGTAATAGCAAACTGTTGCTTTACCACAGTTTACCCGCCACCACCATTTGCGTGGTGGACTATGCCTTGATACCCTCTATACATATATATAGGCTGTTACTTTATTTATTTATTGGATTACTAACGTAACTTATTAAAAATATCATTATTCAAACAGACGCTTGCGCGTTCTTACGAATCGTCGAATTTCACATAAAAATTAATATATAGGTTCGTAAGGTACCGAATCATAATATAATACTTTCGCGTTACGTCTGGCGAGTGCGGTGGCCGGAGCCCAATGTTCAAAAGGTTGTCAACGCATCCGCACCCCTCGGGTGTAGTGGTATTCACTTAACATCAGGTGAACCGCCCGCTCGCTTGGCAACTTGTCCCACATAAAAGATGCCTTTACTATGTCGCGGTCAGGACATCCAGGCCGTGCGCGAGGGGAGCGCGCATATACAGCGCGTGCTGGGCGGCAGCGTGCTGGGCGTGCGGGGCGCGGGGGCGCGCGACGCCGGCCGGTACGTTTGCGTCGCGGAGAACGCCGCGGGCGCCGCCAGCAGGCGATACAACGTGCGCGTCAAAGGTCGGTGGCCTTCCTCACGGGCCGATGCGCTTTTGTTTCTACCAAAGCCTCAGTGCCTGCTAAAACACGTGCCGATGCGCTTTTGTTTCTACCAAAGCCACAGTGCATGTTGGGACATGTGCCGATGCGCTTTTGTTTCTACCAAAGCCTCAGTGCCTGCTAAGACACGTGCCGATGCGCTTTTGTTTCTACCAAAGCCTCGGTGCCTGCTAAGACACGTGCCGATGCGCTTTCGTTTCTATCAAAGCCACAGTGCATGTTGGGACACGTGCCCATGCGCTTTTGTTTCTGCCAAAGCCACAGTGCCTGCTAAGACACGTGCCGATGCGCTTTTGTTTCTACCAAAGCCTCAGTGCCTGCTAAAACACGTGCCGATGCGCTTTTGTTTCTACCAAAGCCACAGTGCATTGGGACATGTGCCGATGCGCTTTTGTTCTACCAAAGCCTTCGCTAAAACACTGCCATGCGCTTTTGTTTCTACCAAAGCCTCGGTGCCTGCTAAGCCACGTGCCGATGCGCTTTCGTTTCTATCAAAGCCACAGTGCATGTTGGGACACGTGCCCATGCGCTTTTGTTTCTGCCAAAGCCACAGTGCCTGCTAAGACACGTGCCGATGCGCTTTTGTTTCTGCCAAAGCCACAGTGCATGTTAGGACATGTGCCGATGCGTTTTTGTTTCGACTCACTTGAGCCTCAGTGCCTGCTAACACATGTGCCGATGTGCTTATGTTTCAACACCCTGAGCCAGAGTGCTTGCTAAGACATGAGCCGATAGGCTTTTGTTTTAACTTTTTGAGCCTCAGTGCCTACTAAGACGCATGGCGATGCGCTTCAACTCGATAAGCCTAATTGCCTGCTAAAAGATGTGCCGATGCGCTTTTGTTTCAACTCCATAAGCCTCAGTGCCTGCTAAGACATGTGCCGATGGGCTTTTGTTTGGAAAAACTGTACATTAAAATAATTTGTTTTCATTTTTACCGTTGGATCCAATGGGAACAATTTTTTTTTTCACAAATAAATAAAAGCTAAGTAAAGGACAGTAACTTATTAAATTACAATATTCCAATAGTCACAAAGTTATATTTCTTGATAAAAATGCTAGTTCCCGGAAAATGGAGTGCATGGTCCCAATGGAGCTACTGCAACGTTACCTGCGGCTTGGGATTCCAAAACCGGTCAAGGATTTGCCACTATGTCGATGATGACAACAATACTATTGGTGAGTTGAAAAGTTACTTAAAACACAAAATGACTTAGAAAATCGAAAAATATATTCTAATTGTTAGTACTAGTAGATGGATTGTTAAAAGAATATTTCGCCACTGCCAAATTTCGAACCTGCGCTTCCGGTTAAAGTGCTAAGACGTACTAAAAAATAAAATTAATCATAATCGCATGTACTGAATATAAAAATTATTTAAATATCGTCTATTAAGATGATTACGCTTGGCAAGAACTAAAAATGTATTATACTCTGCTACCTAATGTACAAAAGAAATTAATAACTATTTAACAATAATAAGAATACAACAGCTTTATGTGTTAATTTATTTCAGACAGCACGTCCAACTCTGATAAACTCATTTTAGATGAGAGCTCGTGTAAAGGGTCTGCTATCGACAAAAGAAAGTGTCACATGCCATCTTGTGAGGTGAGGCCAACACAGGTTATTCTGCATGTGAAGGACAATTTGATATGTCAGATTCCCTTTACTGAGGATCTTGCATCTCTATCCCCCTATCTCGTCCATGACTTATAAAAAGAAGTCTTGTTGGTATTAAAATGTCGACGTTGTATTGCATGTAACACAGTTTAAATATGTCAAATTCCCTTCACTTAGGATCTTGCATCTCTTTTTTTCTCGCGTTTGTGATTTATATGAAGATAAAGGAAATGTCACATGTCATTTTACGGGGTCATGAAATTCCGGCAGTATATTGCATGTGAAAGATAGTTTCATATGTCAGATTCCCATTATTTAGGAACCCTCATTTCTTTCTCTCTCGTCTGTGATTTATGAGAAGAAATGTCACATGCCGTCTTGCGGGGTGATTGAATCCCTACGTTATATAGCATGTGGAATACGTTTTAATATGCCCGATTCCCTTTACTTAGGATCTTGAATTTCTTTCTCTTTTGATCTCGTCCTTGATTTAGAGAAAGAAGAAGGGAATGTCACATGCCGTCATTCGGCGTGATTAAATTCCGACGCTATATTGAAAGACATTTTAATATGTCAGTTTCCCTTTGCTTAGAATCTTGTGTCTCTCTCGTCGGTGATGTATAGGAAGAAGAGGGCTGGTCGAGCTGGTCGCGGTGGTCCTCGTGCTCGGCGAGTTGCGGGGCGGGAACGCAGGCGCGCAGGCGCCGTTGCCGCTCGCGAGCCCGCTGCCCCGGCGACAACGTGCAGGTATCGCGGTCCTTGTCTAACTGCGAAGGGAGGAAAGGGACAGATATCGTTAGAGCTTTGCGCGTGCTCACATATTCGGAAATAGCGTGTATGTAGCTGTCTCTCTCTATGTATGAGGAGAGAAAAGGGGCAGATGTCGTTAGAGCTTAATGCACGCGCACAGCCCATTGGCGTATCTAGGTTTATTTTTCAGGGTGGGCCTGGGCCTTAGCCTGGGACTACAAAAAAAAAATCGAACACTATGCGTCTTATTAAAGAAGTAACAGTTCGTTATCGTTAATAATTTTTATTAATTTATAATAGTAGTATTAACTAATTAGTAGTCGGTACCTACGTTGAGTATTCACAAGTAAATAAATGGAATGTATTGTAAAATAGTATGTAATAAAAACTAAGTTTGTACATAGATTTCTCGGCTGTACATAATTATTTGATTTCAATTTTTTTATGAAATTTCTTATGTATCCAATGAAGAATTAGATCTAGAATTTCGAATCAATAACCCAAAAAGCTGGGGTGGGCACTAGACGATACTGGGATCGGCATGGCCCACCCGGCACCCCTATCATATACACTATATTCCAGCCTCGACGACAGCGTGTATGTAGCTGTCTCTGTTTATAGATGAAGAGTGGAAAGGGACATGTATCAGTAGGGCTTAGTGCACGCTCACAGCTTTGGCGACAACGTATATGTAGCTCTATCTCTATTTATGGATGAAGAGTTGAAAGGGACAGGTATTGGTAGAGCTTAGTGCGCGTTCACATCCTCGGCGACAGCGTGCATTTAGCTCTGTCTCTGTTTAAGGATGAAGAGAGAAAAGGGACCGATGTCCTTCGAGCTTACTACGCTTTCAAAGCTCCTGCGGCAATATTTAGGGAGCACCGTCCCTAGGTAATTTGCAAAGGAAAGGGACAGACATAGTTATGGCAGTACGCGTGACGTCAATGTACGCGAAACGCTGTGATCTTCCTTTTCAGGGAAGTCTAATAAAAAGCTATAAATCCGGATATAACAAAGCCAGGGGATATAAGTAGCGTTCTTAACAACATTCCACGTGGGCAAGGATTGTTAAATAACATGTAATTTAGTTAGCACTTAATATTGTGAATATTATTTGATCAATAAATTGTAATGCATTTTGATAAAAAAAATACTAAAGCTCATAAATTCACATTTTCTAACATTGATATTTGTAATATAACTTTCGTAAAATTTCTTCGATTTCGTAAAGTCACTGTATCAAAAAAAAATTTTTACAGATTAGAAAATGTCCTGACTTACCAAAATGTTCACCACGATCAAGACAAGCCAGTCGTGAAGTATACAGCAGTCAGGAAAGCGATGACAGGGTAAGTTTCACACGTCGATAACATATTTTTATGCTTGTTATACTCTAAAAATATTGATAAAGACGTAATATTAATCTTTAGTCTAGTCAAGTTTGATTCAATTAGATTTTTGAAAAAAATTTTCTCTTAAGGCCCATTTACACGATGCCATTTTCTTGTACATACAAGAGCAATAATTGAATGCAATAAATTGCGCGCAATAATTGTTTAGACCATTTGTTGTTTAGACCATGCAACTCATTTATTGCTTCAATTTAATTGTATACAACAGGCAAGAAACTGGCACCATGTAAATGGGCCTTTAGTCAACATCGATACGCCAAAATTTAATGAAACTATACAAAAGTTAAGAAGCCTTAAGCAAAAACACTATATACGGAAAAGACATGTTTAAAAACTAAAATTATATTTTTCCATTTTAAGGATATGTACATGCCCGAGGCAACGATCGAAATGCAACCTGACCTAGACAACGACCTAAGGTCCTCTGACTTCGAGAAGTTTTATAGCCCAGTCGGTAAATATAAATATATTATGATTCGCAAAGAACTCTATAAGCTAAAAATAACTTTAGTAACATTGTACAAAAGTCCAACAAATTAAAGCTAGTACTATTAAAACACTAACTACTGTTATTATAATTCGACGAAAATTGAAATTGAAATTTCAAGGACGTTTCAAACGTGACGTTTAGAAGACACCTCTCGTTACACGGGTGAGAAGAAAGATATAATGTAGAGAGAGAGAGAGAGAGAGATGCACTAAATGTAAAGCGATAGAATAACGCCCGGTTTCTGAAACACTGATCCAGAACGATCCTCTTAATGATCAGAATGATCAGTTCAAAGGATTTAACCATCCTTTTGGCAACTTAAATAACATTTAGAAAGTCATTTGACAGCTGATTAGTTTACTTCTACAAAGATCAGTGTTTTAGAAACCGGGCGTAAGCGTTTTAGAGGTATGCGTTGTACAATCAGTATTGATCATTGCGTTTCATGACTTATTAAAAACATTTATTAGGAAATTTCACTACTATCACGCGTATTTCATATAAAACTATACGCATTTAAACAACAGATCTTGCAGATAAAAAAGCGCGCGTGTACTTCGACGTCAACGTGACGGAGAATCTCGACCACAGCCCGCAAGGCCCTTGCGAACCCGGATTTCGGCACAATACTATCGACGACTCCTGCGAAGGTGAGATTTAACATTCACAATTTCTTTTCACAAAAAACACATTCAGTAAGTTAATATGAAAAATATTTTAATGTACGGAATGCTAAAATTTAACTACTTTTATTCAAATTCAGACTAGTAAACAATAGTAAAACTTTTCCTCACATTTTTTTTCACGTTTTACTTTTACCTGCAGCACAAACATGATTACATTAAATATTAACAGAAATTAATAGAAAATAATTTGGGGCCAAGGGGCCTCCGCTCCTTTGTTTCCCCGAGGCCTCCAAACCTCTAAATCTGGCCCTGTACGCTCGTAGATAGAGATGCCAATCGTACAATAATAAATAAATACTACAATCGTACAATAATAATGACGAAAAAATATACGCAAACGCTGACGCTCGATGGCTAAATCTTCAGTTTGCAACACCAATACTAATAAAATCAGTTTTCTTGTGTGGTGGTGGCAAGTGAACTGGCGATTCACTTGATTTTAAGTAATAACCGCCGCCCATGGACAACAACACCCGTAGGTTTGTGACAAGTGCGTTGCCAAAAACATATATATTACTAAACAGCAGTGTTTTGTATACTTTATACTATAATACTATATTTTTAATGTACTATATTTTTCTAGCTTATTTTAAAACAGTAATATAATTACTTATCTTACGTAACTGTTGGTAACCCTAGAAGTAGAACAGATGCCGAGAAACATCTTAAGTAAACCAAACTCACCAAACAAACACTAATGTGTTGCACCAAGAAAAATTGATCCCTCTTAAGGGCATACTTCTTACGTCCGAAATTCTAACGTCCATTGATTAGACAGCTATAACGCTGTTCAATCGTTAAAAGGCATTAAAAATTAAGTGTTTGTCCCCAGACGTGGCGTTAAAAGGCATTAAAAATTAAGTGTTTGTCCCCAGACGTGGCGTTAAAAGGCATTAAAAATTAAGTGTTTGACCCCAGACGTGGCGTTAAAAGGCATTAAAAACTAAGTGTTTGTACCCAGACGTGGACGAGTGCTCCGTCGAGAGCAACCGTTGCCACGCGACGCAGGTGTGCGCCAACATGGCGGGGAAGTACCGCTGCAGTTGCCCGCGCGGTTTCCTCTCGCTGGGCGCCGGCCAGCGATGCCTCGGTACGTACACACGCGCACACAGCATACACACACACACACACACACACACACACACACACACACAGCACACACACACACACACACACACACACACCCACACGCACGCACGCACGCACGCACGCACGCACGCACGCACGCACACACACACACACACACACACACACACACACACACACACACACACACACACACACACACACACACACACACACACACACACACACACACACACACACACACACACACACACACACACACACACACACACACACACACACAGCATACTGCGTTGGGTAAGACGCCCTATATTTTTATGCTTATATATTAGCGTTATCTCGTTTTAACCGTCGCCACAAAGTACATTGCGCTGTTAAAACTTTATTATGGTTATAGGTTTAGTAATATATGTTATTGCATTTTTATATACGGAAATTACCTAACATCAATTTGTTTACACTAAACTACAAGTAAATTTTATTCACAGTTTTATAACACTTAACAAATTATATTAACACCACGAAATAATAAAAATATTCGCTCTTCAGAAATGACGTCTAGCGTACTTTTATATTAAATGTATGCGCTATAAAAAAGTAAAGTAACTATATATGTCCCATTGCTGGACAAAGGCCTTCTCTGTACAGAGAGTATCGAGGCATAGTCCGCCACGCGGCCCCACTGCGGATTGGCGGACTTCACACAAAAAAATAATTCGTTTATATGAATTTTTTTTTTCAATGAACACTCCTAATGTTGCCTGAGTAATATGTGTGGCATCTACCAAGTGAGGAGAATGGACAGGCGCGTCAGGGAAGTACCGCAGAAGACCGACGTCAACTGGAAGTGTTAAGCTTTTGCCTATCCTCTGGTGAGTGATAGCAGGGCCCCACTTTTACAAAAGGTTGGCAACACACCTTGCATCCTCACAGCTATTGAAGATGAACGTTAACCGCGTGAATCGCTTGAACGTTGGTTAAATGGCTATCCTCTCACAGATATAAAATACGCGTACGAAGCATACTCACTCTATTACTACTACTCTACTACTACAGTTACTACTAGATGGTACACTCGCGCACACAGCGCACAGACGGCTGTGTACGCGAGTGTACCATTACACGGCTTTCATGACTGTTCGTGATCTGCAACCCAACCAACCGACCGAGCCGCAGTAGCTCTCTTTCCCTCGAACGCAGACGTGAACGAGTGCGAGCAGGAGATCCACGGCTGCGAGTTCGCGTGCGTCAACGTCGCCGGCGGCTACGTGTGTGCGTGCCCTAGGCATCTCAGGCTGCATGTGGACAGACACCATTGCGTCCCGCGTACGTATCTCAAAAAAAATCAAATTCATTTATTCATCGTCATAAGAAACTTGCGTTTCATCAAAAGTAAAAAGTAAAGTGACAGCCTATACATGTCCCACTGCTGGGCAAAGGCCTCCTCTATAGAGAAAGGTATCAGGGCATAGTCCACCACGCGGCCCCACTGCGGATTGGCGGACTTCACATATCTTCGAAAAATATTCTTTTTTTGTTATTATTTCGAAAATATGCAGGTTTCCTGACGATGTTTTTCTTCACCGCGGAGCACGTGATAAGTCAGCACTTAAAGGTAAAAACTTCATTGGTGCCGGCACCGGGGATCGAACTCAAGTTGCTCGAGTATATTGAATTATAGGCGAGCGCCCGGACACTGAGCTATCACGGCTCTCACGTTCATCAATCGATAGTCATTTAGATCTAACCACCGTTTCGTAATGAGGTACTTCTAACGGAGAAGAAACTGGCGAAAGAAACTCCGTAGGTATCCTCTATCGTGAAGCATGAAGGTCAGCAATGGAAATCAGCGCTGTTGGGTTTTGATTATATTAAAACTTATTTTTTTTAAAAACGTTGCCCTTGCTTTAGGATAACATTATCCTGTGTTGTAAAGACGTTTTACAAACATGAATTTCACGTGGACAAAAACTCATATGCGAAACAACTGTGGGTCGCACAAATAGTTGTCCCGTGTGGGAATCGAACCCACGACCCCCTACGCCGAAACCCATCAACGGTCTAAATGTTGTTTAACGAAATATTAGATGAGAATAAAACCGGCCAAGTGCGAATCGGACTCGCGCACTAGATGGAACCTTCCATTATATATAAACAACAAATACTAAAAAACGTATTCTGTTTTTTAGGATTTGTTGTTATAGCAGCGACAGAAATACATGTTCTGTGAAAATTTCAACCTTCTATTGTCTTTAGGAATTTAGCTACGCAAAGTAAAATTGTTGTGACGTCGTAAATCAAATGCTCTATGTCTGTGTCTTTTCCTAAATACGTCACTAATTGAAGTATGTCGTGTATTATATCTAAATATTTCCTTCACAGCATCGCAATATCAAAGGCGGCAGTTTTACGCGGACTCGGAATCTGAAGATTATCTAGGTGCCACTTTCGACTTTCCAGCTAGAAACACCAAGTATCCTAGGAATAATCTATAAGGTTAGGTTGGTAGAAAAATATTTATTTGAATGAAACACCATCCTTTTTTTATTCTATATTTATTGTTTTCTGTATCTTACCGTAATAGGGCTTTAAATGTGTTTTCAATTTTGAACATGACATTTTACTTTAGATTGTTAGTTATTTGTAATAATTCCTTGTTCCTGTGAATTGTAGTAGTATTTAATTTCTTACTCCTATTGAAATATTTGTAAATTAAAGTATACCAACGATAACTACATATTGTTTTGTATATATTATACTTTAATTATTTAAGATATTACATTTTTTGTAAATGTATAAACATGATTTTTTTCATGTTGTCCACGATCAGCTATTATGTAAGTAAGAAAAAAATGTTCTGTTCTAAATTCTAGAATACAATTTTAATAATTTATTAATTCAATGTTTTCCTTCTGTAAGTATATCTAATATGCCTGTCTACTGTTTACCTTACAGTTTAAAAAACATCAAATAACGTAGAGTCGTTACGTCAGTGCACAAGTATTATGTCATAATAAAAATTTAAAAAAAAAACACTGAGTCGCGACCTGTGAATTGTAGTAAGTGGCTTTCGTTGACCTCAAACACCCTTCAATGGGCTGAGAATATTGGACCATCCGCCACCGTCGTAAAAACCGATCTCCCAAATACCGGTTAGGTCTACGAACGTCGGAATCGAAGTTTGTTACTTGTTTGGAAATATCCCATGGCGTAACTAATACATCAATATTCTACGCAATATATTATTTTAAAGCGAGCTACGAAAAAGAGAGACGATACTATGATATACATGCTGTCATAGCTCTGTGGTGTTTATTGTAACATTTGCTTAATTACTAGATTATAGAATTGTAGCTGGCTCGCAGAAAAGTGAGCAATTTCGCAGGCGCTTTAAGACCTTTAACTTTAGATATTAATACATCATACAATTAATATGTGAAGACAAAGATAATTTCATCGACGAAACAAGCAACAAAAAAAATATTTTAAAATAGATTAGATCGATTACAAATAAATCAGCAGCTAAAGTGCTTAGACTTATTGAGTAATATATACAGTATACTATATAAATTACTTATATAGTATACTAGCTGCTGCCCACGACTACGTCTGCGTAGAATAGGCTGAAGGCGTAACATTCAGACAGAAAGACAGATATCCATAAAAATGTATATAAGTTATAGCCTATGTATTATTCTGATGTATAAGCTATATTATTGTAAAATTTCATTAAAATCCATTGAGTAGTATTTGTGTGAAAGTGTAAAAAACATCCATCCATACATACAAACTTTCGCCTTTATAATATTCGTAAGGATTAGCGGTTGTTTAGCATTCGTATCCTGAATAAATAAATGCACATGCTGATTTACTAGCAATCAAGTAAGGTTGTTTAGTGTGAAATTACCTATGTAGAAAAAATCTTTTAATAAATTTTACAACGCTGCCAAGATTCGAACCTTCCGAATTACGCTTCCAGACGCTTTAGCCGTTTAGCTAAGCGATCGACATCTTTACCGCGCGAAAATTTCGACATATTAACTTCTTTGTTTTTATAAGCACAGTCAACGGCCATCGTGGTCACGGTCCGCACCGAATCTCGATGGCCCGTAGCCGACATGCCAAAGTACATCAACTTAACATCAGTTATACCTTTACACAATGTTTTGATTGCGTTTTTAGCAATGCGTGGCGCCATCTACTATGCTTCCTTTACGGCGAACACTTACTCAAGTGAAATTTTACATTGAATATTTGCCAATCAAATATAGTTTTTCTACGCATTTTAAGTGCAGCGACTAGTTTAAACATTAAATTTTTTTAATGTACGTTTTTTTTTATATTGGAATACTAGAGTTAGTGTCATCATGTGATCATTCCTCTTATCGACAGCTAAGTTACGGTACACAATATTGCTTTTGCGTTGATATTAAATTCAACCGTAATAAATTTTTAACTCACGACATTTCCAACAATGCGCCACTTTGGCCCAAGGGCTTTTTTTATTTTGGTTCGGCCTACACATTTAAGTTTGTTGGTGTTCTTGAATTTTATTTAGATTACGAAATTCAGATGTTTCTTCGGTAGAGTCCCCCAAAGTTGATTCGTGGTTATTGATCAATTAAGTATTCAGAACGTCGGAAATTTTCAAAACAAAAGTGCAATAAATCCTTAATTCTATTAGTTTACCGCTACACCTTAATAACCGAAAAAAAAATCAAAATTTCTGCTTACCCGACTGTTAATAGGTTTTGAGATACACGTTTATGTCTTTGGCACGCTCTGTATTCAATTGAGCTTCATAGATTTTAAAGTAGGTGACATTTAAACATACTTCACCCATAACATTGGTAATAACAGTGTATAATTGTAATGCCATCGGGAATTTTTTTTAATTAGTAGTAATTGATACATATTATAGGCTTATCTTTATATATACCAGCGGACCGGACAGACGTACACACGTCTTAAAAATTTCAAACTTTTTTGAATAACTTTGTAAATTTAAACCATTTTCGAATCGACCTGTAGACACAATAAATTTCATCAAAATCGGTCCAGCCGTATGGGAGGAGTTCAGTGACATACTCGCGTACAGAAGAATTATATAATATATATAAAGATAATGATAATTCTCCTGTGTGTTTGTTAGTGACTGAATTCCTCCTAAATGACTTTACCGATGTTGATGAAATTTTCTGTGTGTGTTCAAGTGCACTCGAAAATGGTTTAGAAAAATTCACATTTCGATCCGCTACAAAATGTTTTTTAATTTTTGTAAGTTGTCGACGATTTAAGACGACACGACGGATGATTAAACGTATACACTACTCATACAAACTAATGAATAATTCCAACATTCAATCTACGAGCTAAAACTTTCCACAATAATTTGACAAGAACTTCTATATTCACTCAACATTGTAATGTACGATTTTTAATAGCGGCCATTTTTCGGGACAACTAAGTCACAATCGGCGGGAGACGGTCGTTGCAAAATATCTTCTTTATAGGCGCTCGCTTTGCGTCCAGGATTCTCTCGTCATTTTTGCGGGGCGTATTCCTGGAACCGAACAGTGATGCGCAAAAAATTAACTCTCTTCGCAAAGAGCCACGCGCTAGCTTTTTTTTTGTGAGAAAGTGGCACCAAGGGCGGATCCGGGGGGGGTCATGGGGGTCATGACCCCGCCCTGGTCCTGGGCCTAGGTGGACCACTAATTAAAATTGTTAAACATAATGTTTTATATATTTTTTGCCACAATATAGATTTTATCTAAGTACCTTTAATATTTAATTAAATTAATATAATATTTTTAACCGACTTTAAAAGGAGGAGTTCCTCAATTCGATTGGTATATTTTTTTCGATGTATGTACACCAGTTACGTTGAGATTTATGATCCGATTTACGTGATTCTTCTTTAGTTTGATGCAGAATAGTTGTCATCTGGTCCCATAAAAATTTACCATAGTTTGGCCAAGTAGTTTTCATTTTATGAACATTTTTACAATATTTTAATATTAAATCATCAAATCAAATCTTGCAAATTAAATTTGATTCACTTCCCGGTTACCGGTTGAGCTGAAATTTTGTATACATGTGTGAATCGCGAGACAATGCAATATTTTTATGACATGGTGCTGATCTGATGATGGAGCTGGAAGCAGGCCAAAGGAACTTCGAAATGAAACGACAGAGCCTCATCGCGTTTGGGTACATTTGAATCGTATTGATGAGTAGTTTGTCTTTCATTCGTAACCAGGATCTGATGATGGAGCTCCATCTTCAGCCGTCCATGGACATATGCATAGGGTTGCAGATGCGTTTTCTCCTTATAATAAGTAAGAGAGAACGTATCTCGTGAGTGAGTTACTCACCAGACAAATAGCAGAAGTACTTTACGCCGATCTTCTGTGAGGTCTATGAGGCTATTCTGGGAGGTTCCTGTGACTACTCTGTAATGAAACGACTCAACCCCATCGAGTTTCGGCTCATTTGATTCGTCTTGGCGAGTACTTAATTTTTAGATGGTTACCAGGGTCTGATCTGATGATAGAGCTGGAAGATAGTCATATGAACTCAGTAAAGAAACGACGCCACCCTATTGCGTCTCGGCTCGTTTGATTCATCATGACGAGTTCTTTGGTGCTAGATGGTAACCAGTGTCTGATGACAGAGCTGGAATGTGGCCATAGGAACTCAGTCGAGTTTGATTCGTCTTAATGGGTGGACCGTTATTGACGGGTGGTGAGAGGTGGTGGTTTAGTGGACGTGAGTATGCGACCCCATCTTCGGGAAATAAAGTTTGTTCGCTCCGTTTCTTATGAATGTGGATTCTGTCTTTGATTAGAAGCGATTAATATTATGAATGAATGAATATTTTTTTTCTTAATTATGAACATTTTTTAATTGGGACGATGTAATTTTATTTGGTGTACGGCTATATTAGGAGTTTTCATTTGGGTTGATTATATTTTATTATTAACCCGTGTCCCGATAGTCCCCGTCTTAGGCTACTTGTCATTGAAGTGGAGCCAGCGTGCGGAGTAGAGGAATAGAGAATGTTATAACCAATACGACTACATAAAATCTGGTAACGAAGAAATAAATAAAAGAAATTTCAAAAATAAGTAAGCCTACCAATAGCTACTTAAAAAAATACTATACAGGGTGGTTTTTCTAAGTGCATCCATTTTTTTTAATTAAATTCTAAACATAAATAAAGTTATATAACAATGATAAATATTTAAAATCACTCGTAATTAATTAATTACATTCATTTGAACTTATCTCAGAAAGTGCGTGATTTATGGGCAACTCATTTATTTTACGCGCGATCATTCATGCACACAAGTTCGTTTCAAAAGTATACGACGCATTTATAAATGACTACCTCACTGTCAACAAGTTTGTTTTTAGGGAATAGAATGCCAAATTTAATTAAAGTTAGTTTTTATTTCAATTAACGGTTATACTACCGAGTCTGAACCTC